TGTGATGACCATTAATATTACATTGTCAATCAAATTCAAAACAAGGACAGCCTTTTTAAGAGCAGATTAAATTCCTGGCTCCATCTGGAATCCAGGGAAGGGGAAAGGAGTTGGGAGTGGTTATTGTGAGGGCAGCATAAGTGGAGCCTGTGCTGGAATGAGACACCAAGGCAGCTATTGAGAATGGGCTGGGCTGGGATTTAGGATTTGCAGTGGAGCAGAGGAGGGTGCCAGGGAATGGGATTCATGCCTACAGCACAGTTCAGGGAGCTGCTGGGATGCTGGAAAAAGCGGCTCCCTGCCAGGGACATCCATGCAGTCGCTTTGCCACCTGGCCCAGTGGTATTTCCCAGGGGCAAAGAGAAGCAGTCAAGCCCTCTGCTTCCCCACATCCACCCTGGCCTTCCTGGTCAGGCAAGTGATCTTAATTTCTTAAACCAGTATTTTCCAAGAGTGTTGCAGATTTCAGGAGCTTGCCACTGGAGCGCCTGAGCAGCACCTTTGAGAAGGGCCTTCGGCATCTCCTCATTCATTCGTTCATTCCTTCAATGACTGGCTTCTGTTAAGCATCTTCCATAGGCCAGGACTGTTCTTATACAGTAGCCCAGGTATGACTGCGGAACAATTATTGTCCTCTGGGCCAACAGATGATTAACGAGAAACCCTTGGCCTTCGAGTTGTAGCAGGCAGAGCTTCAACAATCCTGAAGCCCTCCCAGAGACTATAAGATAAGAAGCAGCCAGGCTGCTGGGCAGGACTGAGCCAGGAGCTAGCTGCTGGCCCCAGCCTGGAGCCATATCAATGGCCTTCAGCCTCTCCTCCTACAAGGTCCAAGTCAGTGGCTCCCACTACAGGGGACTGTGTGAACTTCATAGGATTCAAGAATCTCCCTAATTGTAAAACATGCATCTGTGCATATTTCAGGGAGAGTTCAAAGTTTTCTTAAGATAATCAGGACCACAACTCAAAAAAAGTTTAACATCATGGCTTCAGTCATCTGTAAGCCTTGGGGATAAATGAGTAATGTACAACCCATCTGGAATAATACGACAGACTAACTCATGGTTTCACTGCATGATGCTCTTCTGGGACTTGACGGATGTCAGTTTACTGACTTTTCTTGACAACCCTGAGATTTAGGGGCAATGATTTACCACAGTTTACAGATGAGGACACTGAGACAGAGTTAAGTAACTTAACTAGTGGTGGAGTCCAGATTCAATCCAGACAGTGTGGCTGTCCACCACGGCTGGGGTGGGGAGGGAAGAAGGAGGCACCCATTTGGCCTGATGGAGGGCTCAGAACATTCAAGGGCGCTACCCCTGCCCTTCGTATCAGTTTTTCTGATTAGTGATTATTGCCCCTCATTTGACAGGTAAAAAACTGAGGTTCAGAGAAGTGGAGTGACTTGTCCAAAGTCACACAACTCAGCAGTGAGGGAGCCTGTCTGACTCCAAAGTCCGACCTCTGTCCAGAGCGTCCCAGGGGCAGGTGCCAGGAGCTAAAGGGCAGTGACTGTGTGCTCATGGCGGGGACAAGCTGTCCTCCATTCCCAGGGCTGCAGCCAAGCACACAGTAACCCCTGGAATCTGTTGCATCACCCCCAATTCCCTGAAGGAGCAAGACTGAAAAAGCAAAATCCCACACTGTAGACCATTGTAAAGGGAATGATTTATTTTCACATGCATCGAACAAAAACCCATGGCCATCTTTCACTCATTGGCTCACTCAGTCAACATCCATGGAGCATGCCCTGCACTGGATTCTACTCTAAGTGGCCCCGGTGCAGACCCTGACTGTGGAATCTAAGCTAACAATGCCGCTAGGCTTGTGTTTTCTCATGTGTAAAATGGGCCAAGCATAGTACTCCTAGAGTGTGTCTGCGACAGAGAGAGAGAGAGAGACAGAGAGATACAGAGAGAGACAGAGATGAGTGAGGGATAGCAAGAATCCACTGAGACAGTAGCTCTCACTGTGTAACCTACCAGCTTCCTGTCTTGTCCTGGTGTTGACTCATTTGGACCTCAGGCCAGCCGGCTCCAGGGCTGTGCTCGTGCCTGCTCTGCCATTGCTGTGCCTGCATCGCTCAGGGATCCCAGCCTACTGTGCTGCTCAGCAGTATATATTCCACTTACTTTAAGGCCCAAGGACCTTGAAATACGTCCAGAAAGTCTGCTAGAGGATGCTTGGACTGTCAAGGTCATCTCGGTCAGGACTCCCAGGGCCACATTGCTTTCTGCAGTCCTTCCCCAGGTGGCTTGAGAAATGGCTGCCCCAGGAGGGTGCGGGGGTGCAAGGGTCCAGAGGCTCACTGATTACCAGGAAGAGAAGAAGTTCAATTTCATGGTTAAAGAAGAAAAACGCAAGTTGAATTCCTGGCCAGAGGAGGGTTCTGGTCCCACTCCATGCCACCTTTGCCTTGGGTTGCACTGTCTTTATAGTCTGGCCTATAAAATCTAAGTGGACTCCATCCCCAGAAATCACAGAGTCCAAGATTGCAAACTGGAGGCCCTGCTGTGAGCTCTGGCCCACAGGTGGGTCCTGCCAGGCCTGCAGCGAGCTGGCTCTCTCACTTCCACGTCCCCACCATTCCCCACCGTGACACCGTGGAGTCTTCCTCATCTGGCCTGTGAAGGCGCTGGAGGTTGCTGCCCCCCTGTCTGACCCAGCCCCTCCTGTTGCAGGTGAGGGTGGGCAACCGAAGCTCAGAGAGGAAGTAAATGAGCTCAACTTCACACAGCCAGTGAGGGCCCCGGTGGAGGCCAGACCCTCCAAGGGGTTCCTCGGGGCCTCAGGGAGCAGCAAGGGCCAGCTGAACCTCCATGCAATGCACAAACATGAAGAAATGAACCTTCTTGGAGTTCCCCAGATGGGAAGTGGGGCATCTTCTTGGGAGGGGGTGAACCAACTTCTGGTGGTTCCTTGTCAAGGCGATGCTGTGGCCATGGCCTGTTTGTTAATAATTACCTGGACGGGAGACAGTGGGTGGTACTGAGAGGGCCTGGTTTGACCAGTCCTCTTGGGTTTGATAAGACAGAGAAGAGATAGCCATCCAGGGGACCACTCTGGGACGGACTGTGCTGTGAGTAACTCGCTGGGACAATGGAGATGAGAGAGACTCTAGAGGGAGGGTGACCAACTGTTCAGCTTTGCCCAAGACTGAGAATTCTTCTGGGACACAAAACTTTCAGTGCTAAAACCACGGAAGTCCCAGCAAGCTGGGGCAATTGGTCACTCTTGCTAGAGGTGAGAAATACTCAGGCTAGAAAGCCCCCGACATGGGATCTGTGGGCACTGGTGGCACCAGTGCCTGGACCCAGAAAAGCCTCCTTCAGGGACACACAGCTTGTTCAGGGCAGCACTGGCTGGGGACCAAGGTCTTCTGGCTCCCAATCCAGGTGATCTTGGGGAGCTCATGCCAAAAAGGAGGCCTGTATATGAATGATGAGTTCCCCTGTATGTTTCCAAACGATCTCTCCAACTGCTCATTGGAGAACAGAGAGCAGAAAGACTAGAAAGCTGTCTGCAAGGGTCTAGGTCAGGGGTCAACAAACCACAGCTCGTAGGTCAAATCTAGCCCAGCGCCCACGAGCTAAGAATGCAAGATATAAAATATAAATATAAAATATAAGTGATAAATATAAAAAATAAATATATAAACGGTTGAAAAATCAATAGAAGAACATTTTGTGACTTTTTTTGAAAAATAATATGAAATTCACGTTTCAGTGTCCATAAGTGAAGTTTCACTGAAACACGGCCACGCCTGTTCATGCTATTCACGCGTGTCTTGTCTGTGGCTGTTTCCATCCGCCACAGCAGAGTTGGGTAGTGACAGCAGACTGTGTGGTCTGCAAAACCACGGATATTACTCTCTGGTGCTTTGCAGAAAAGCTTTTCTGTGCCCTGGTTGAGGATCATAGCAGCGGAGGTGGTGAGAGCCTGAAGAATCTATAGGAGAGTCTAGGAGTTGGAGGCCAGCCTGGGCAGCACAGTGAGACCTCAACTCTACAAAAGTTAGCCGGCTGTGGCTGTGGACGCCTGTGCTTCCAGCTGCTTGGGAGGCTCAAGGGGGAGGATTACCTGAGCCCAGGAAGTCAAGGCTGCAGTGAACCATGATTGCACCACTGCACTCCAGCTTGGGTGACAGAGTGAGACGCTGTCAAAAAAAAAGGAAGCTGCAGGCCATGGAAGTGGACTAAATGGGTTGTGGGTGGAGAGAAGGCTAGAGGCTTTTTGGCCTGAGAACCAGATACTGGTGGGCCCATTTGATGGGACAGGAGCAGATTTTGGGGAGAAACTGGAGCATCTTCTCTTGGGCAGATGTTCATTATGAAAAGGGTACCAATTCTATCCCCGCAACTTTGGGCAGGTCACTTATTAAACATCCATGTCCTCATCTGTATGAAGTAACAATACAAAGACCAGTTCTACTGACCTCTACAGGGGTGGGAAGGTCAAACTAAACGGCATGAAAGTGGTTTGTAAACCATAAAAAGCACTCCACAGATGTTTGTGGAGCAGATGCTAAGATAAACTCCAATGATTGCCATCCTCCATGCAAAGTCACTGCGCTAAGAAAATCGAATCATCTGAAAGAAGCGTAGGGGAAGCAGCATTTGGCTGAGTCTGGGGACTTGGGTTCCGGCTGGGATATTTGCTCAGTAGGTGACTTGGGTAAGTCAATTTGGGAGTCTTTGTTTCCTGCTCTGTTGAGTGATAATGGAGTCCAGTGCTGTGCAGAGCTCAGACAGGTGGGAAACACATGATGCGATGAATACAAGCAGTGTGCTTTATAAGTCTAAAGCGATGCCATCAAATAGCATTGCTGTCACCACACATATGGAAGGTGCTGGGAATCCCATTGCCTTCCACAAGCCCATCTGCAGGAGTTGAGGGTGTCACTCATGACCTCTGTGTGCTAGCCCACTGCCTGCCTTCTCAGTAGGGCCAGGTGTTCTGGTGGGGGAATTTCCTGGGCATTCTCTTCCCTCCTACAGGCCTGAGAGTCCAGAGGATGAATCTTATCAACTGTCTGCTCCTCCTGCTGGCTGGACTGCTGGCCCTTTCTCGTGGCCAGCTGACCTTTGGGCATGATGGTGACAGTTGCTCCAGTAGCTCCCAACAGCAGAGTCTGGAGACAGATGAGGGCTCCCCCAGCCTCAAGATCACCCCTGCCAATGCTGACTTTGCCTTCCGCTTCTACTACCTGATAGCTTCAGAGACCCCAGGGAAGAACATCTTCTTCTCTCCGCTGAGCATCTCGGCTGCCTACGCCATGCTTTCCCTGGGGGCCTGCTCGTACAGCTGCACCCAGATCCTCGAAGGCCTGGGCTTCAACCTCACTGAGCTGTCTGAGTCTGACATCCACAGGGGCTTCTAGGACGTCCTGCACACTCTCAACCTCCCCTGTCACAGGTTGGAAACATGCATGGGCAGTGATCTGTTCCTGAGCCACCGCCTAAAGTTCCTTGAAAAATTCCTGAATGACACCAGGACCTTCTATGAGGCCAAACACTTCCACACCAACTTCTATGACACTCTGGGTACAATGAAGCTTATTAACTACCACGCCAAGAAGGAAACTCAAGGGAAAATTGTGAATTTGGTTGGTGAACTCAACAGGGACATCATGATGGTGCTGGTGAATTACATTTACTTCAAAGGTGAGAGTCAAACCATTGGTGAATGCTAAATCCACACCCCCATCCCAATCCCCTCATTTGTTTATTGGTTAAATATATTTTTACAAAAAGGGAAGGAAAAAGGTTGTGTCTGATGTGTTGAACAACCCTCAGAGAATGTAATGGTAGAATGCTGTATATTGAAGACTCTGTAGCATTGAGGGAGCATTCCTTCCTATCTTTAGACATATTTTCTTAATAAAAGCAATGTATAAAATGCATTATAGCCAGTAATCACAAGTTGATTTCTGGATTCATATCTGAGCTCAGTGTCTACCAAGAGTGCAAACAGATCAGCTTGTTTGCTCAAAACAGGGATAAGATGAGTCTCTACTTTAAAGGTTGACTTTGAGGATCAAATGATCTAACCCATGTGTATACTCCTTAGAAAAGGGCCTAAAGAATTGGGCAAACTGTAGCCCCTGGGCCAAATGTGTTCAGCCACTGGTTTTGTAAATAAAGTTTTATTGGCACACAGCCAGGCTCATTCATTTAAGTATTGTCTGTGGCTGATTTCATGCTACAATGGCAGATTGATTCTTTACTACAGAGACTGAATGATCTGCAGTGCCTCAAATATTTAATATCTCTACAAACTTTCTTGTTTGCTGACCCCTGACCATTTTACGTACTCAATAAAGAGCAACTATAATTCATCTAATGATAACAATGCTCATTTTGAAGCTTTAAAAATATGTAAAAACACAAAGGAGAAAGAAATAATCTCTAATCCTACCACTCAGAGGCAACAACTGTTAATATATTAGCACCTTTTCTTCACCTTCCATTCACGCACCTGTATGTTCACACAGTTGATATCATGGTGTGTGAGCAACTTTCTATAGTGTACATTAGTCAGGGTTGCATCAGAGAAGGAGAGCCACCTCAAGTCAGGATAGCGAGATTGGTATAGGAATTAGGCCCAACACCATTGTGGGCGGGGCTGGGAAAGTAAAGGTCTAGAGGAAGAAAGAATTGGAAAGACAGAGAGAAAGTTGTTGATGCAAGTGGATAATTTGGAGCTTATAGGGGAATCTATATGCCAGGCACATTCAGCCATCGGATTGGCGCCATGGAGGGGAGCATCACTACCGAGTTTCTGGTGGCAGCCTGGGGCTGCTGTTGTTCAGTGGGGTTAAAGTTGGGAAAAGGAGCTTGGAGACAAGCAGGGGCAAACGTGAGCACACAGAGCACTGCTGAGTCTCACCATTGTTATTGTTGTGTCTGAGCAATAGTGCCTTCAGAGAGCAATCTACTTCCAAACCTCACAGTTCTAACAGCTTGAACCCAGCATCCACAGGGAGCAAAATGCTAGGAAGCAACTCCCAGCCTAATAATTCAGCCAAATTAGTCATCACACATAATTTACATGTGGAATTTTCATGCACTATTGAAAACCTTTTTTAAAAAGTTTTGTTTTGAGGCCAGGTGTAGCAGCTCATGATTGTAATCCAGCACTTTGGGAGGCCAAGACAGGCGGAACACTTGAAATTAGGAGTTTGAGACCAGCCTGGCCAACATGGTGAAACGCTGTCTTTACTAAAAATACAAATATATATATGCCAGGCTTCATGGCGCATGCCTGTAATCCCACCTACTCAGGAGGCTGAGGCAGGAGAATCACTTGAACCCAGGAAGTGGAGGTTGCTGAGATTGTGCCACTGCACTTCAGCCTGGGGGGCTAAAATGGGACTCCATCTTCAAAAAAAAGTTTTGCTTTGAAAAACAAAACTTTTAAACTCATAAAAAATTAACTAAGGAAGGAAGGGAAACAGTAGTATGGATTTCTCTATCAGGAAGACATTGGTTGGAATTCCAGATCCCTTGCTTTTTTCTGGACTGACATTCCTGGTGTGGAGACCTCAGTCCATTCACCCTATCCACCGTCACCTCACCGCACGCCGCCTCCTGTCCTTGCTTCCCCACTCACACTGCAGAGTCTACGGCCATCATTGGGGTCACTTCTTCAAACACTTTTTACCTCCTCGGTTCTCCATCCCTAGTCTGCTTACCCTCCAAAGCTGCAAGCCTGCTTAAACCTAAAGATCTCACTAGCCTACATCTGCACCCAGTAGCTGAGCGTGGTTGAAGAAAAACATCCCATTGGGCTGATGGTTTCACACGGTATTTGTGAACGCAGATCTTCACAGATCTCCTCACACTGTCCCACAATCCTGCTTACACATCTCCCCACTCTCCAAAACAACCATAATAACGGATTTGTCCTTCTCAAATGTCCTCCCCACTCATGACTTTCACTTAAGCATCTTGTCTCACTCTTGACTGAGAAAACAGAGTCAGTTAAATAGGAAATCCCTCATCTTCTCACATCCAAATGTACTCACCTCCAAATCTTCTGTCCTCCAAATCTACTTATTCCAAGTCTACTCACCTGCCTGCGTTTGAAAGCACAAGCTCAGATGCCCTCACCTTATCATGGCGGTAGTGACCCACCTCTTACAGAAGGCCGACCTCTCTGCTCGCCCCCTGCCATCTCGTCTCCTTCTCAAGGACACTCGCCTGACAATGAACCTCTCTTTCCAGCATCCCTGGTTTCTTCTCTACTATATCAATCCTATTTACATATTAGCAAACTAACATCCTCTGCTATCTCTCATTTTAAAACTTAAATGAGGCTTAAAGGACCCATTCCCCAGGCATGTCAGGTTTTGAATGATCAAAATGGAGCACCTTGACGGGCTCAGAGGGCAGGATCTGGAGTGACTGTGTCGGTGGCTCGGAACCCCAGGTGGCATTCCCTAGCTGGAGGACTGGCTCTGTGGCCCGCAGATGTCCTGCACCCTCTTTTCATCTTCCTTTCAGGCCGGTGGGAGAAACCATTCATTCCCTCCAGGACCATTCGCCAGAACTTCTATGTTGATAAGAATACATCAGTCAGAGTGTCCATGATGCTGCAGGACCGGGAGTACCACTGGTACCTTCGCGACCAACACTTGCCCTGCTCGGTGTTACGGATGGATTACAAAGGAAACGCGACTGCGTTTTTCATCCTTCCTAACCTAGGCAAACTGAGGGAGATCGAAGAGGTTTTGACTGCAGAGTTGCTAACGAGGTGGAACAACTTGCTGCGGAAGAGGTGATCAGCGTGCTCTGGGGGCTGAATCCGTAGTACTGTCCATCAGGTGTACCTCTCTGATGAAAGGCAGTGCCTCAAAATAGGGAGTGATCACCAAATTATGAAAGAATTCTCACTTGCTCTAACACCTTCCATGGGCTTCCTTTAAATGATGAACTCTCCTGTTATATTTAAAATACGACTTCCCCCTCACAAGGGAAAAAAGAACCACAGCAGGAGTTCAGAGTCCTGAGTTCTAGGCAGCTCTTCCACTGCACAAGACGGGTGGCGTGACTTTGCTTCTCTGCATTTTACCTCTGTGCAATGAAGAGGCAGCCCCTCTGGCCACGAAGGTTGACTAAGCTGCCATAGCGGGTTCAAAATAACTCCATCCATCCACCCAGGGAATTAACAAGAAAGCTTCCCATCACTCTGGCTATGATTGGAGAAAGTCTTCAACCATATATAGGAAAAGGATCCTAGCCCAAGGGCACATGTGGATAGAAAATTCACACAACTCTCACGGGGGAGAGAATCCAATCCAAAGAAATTAGCTGATTCGAAGGGTGAAGCCCACAGGGCCATACAAGAGGCAAAGGGAAAACTGCCACCTGACGAGACGTACATCTGTCTCCTTGGGTACCTGAACACCCACAGAAAGCCACCTCCAGGCCGGGAGTGGCGGCTCAAGCCTGTAATCCCAGCATTTTGGGAGGCCAAGATGGGTGGATCAAGAGGTCAAGAGATCGAGACCATCCTGGTCAAAATGGTGAAACCCCGTCTCTACTAAAGATACAAAAAATTAGCTGGGCATGGTGGCGCGTGCCTGTAATCCCAGCTACTCGGGAGGCTGAGGCAGGAGAATTGCCTGAACCCAGGAGGTGGAGGTTGCGGTGAGCCGAGATCGCGCCATTGCACTCCAGCCTGGGTAACAAGAGCGAAACTCCGTCTCAAAAAAAAAGAAAGAAAGAAGAAAGAAAGAAAGAAAGAAAGAAAGAAAGAAAGAAAGAAAGAAAGAAAGAAAGAAAGAAAGAAAGAAAGAAAGAAAAGAAAGACACCTCCAAAGAGGGGTTCCCAAGGGCAGGAGATCCCACCGACAGCAGGCCCTTAGGGCAAAGGAATCTGGCCTTTCAACACTCATTTGTGGGATGTGGTCTGAGCCAAAGCTGTCTGGGGACAGAGCTCAGATGGAATACAGCCAGCTAGAGAGGGCCACCAAGGAGGTCTCTGCCCAGCTGGGATCCTGGCTTGTTCATTAATCTAATGTTTTAACCCAATGCCTCTTTCAGGACTTTTTACAAGAAGCTAAAGTTATATTTCCCCAAGTTCTCCATTTCTGGCTCCTATGTGTTAGATCAGATTTTGCCCAGGCTGGGCTTCATGAATCTGTTCTCCCGGTGGGCTGACTTATCTGGCATCAGCAAAGAGCGAAAACTGCATCTACCCACGGTAAGTCATCAAGAGTCAGCAACCCCTAGAGAACTCAGCAGGGCTCCTGTGCCTGTGGGAGCTGCCAGGTGATGGGGCTCCTATGCTGCCACATGAAGTCTTAGAGCCTGAGTGTGTTCAGTCATCTACAGGCATCAGCATCCACCCATCGACCAGCCCTGGACATGGTGCTCGGTGCTGGAGATACAGTGTCGAACCAGTCCCTGCCCTCAGAGAGCTCTCCCAGTCTAGTTGGGGATACAGCGTCTTCACAGAGAGATAAATGCAATGATAGAAAACAGAGGAGGGGCCAAGTGTGGTGGCTCATGCCTGTAATCCCAGCACTTTGGAAAGTCAAGGCAGGTGAATTACCTGAGGTCAGGAGTTCAAGACCAGTCTGACCAACATGGGGAAACCCCGTCTCTACTAAAAATACAAAAATTAGCCTGGTGTGGTGGCGGGTGGTAGGTACCTGTAATCCCAGCTACTCGGGAGGCTGAGGTAGGAAAATTACTTGAGTCTGGGAGGTGGAGGTTGCAGTGTATCCGGAAATCACGCCACTGCACTCCAGCCTGGGTGACAGAGTGAGTGAGACTTTATCTTACTAAAAAAGAAAAAAAAAAGAAAACAGAGAGGAGAGACATAGCTGAGGCTGCCTTGGGAGCCTCTGTATTAGGGAGACATTGTAGATAAGAGAAAGAGACTCAAGACTTTAGCTAAGAAAAGTGTGCAAGGGGGTAGAGTCTTGGGTTTGAGAGCTTGAATTCTTGTTCTTCCTCTTATGTGATTGAAGGGGTACTAGTTTCTGAGTTTATTTTCCTCACTTTTAAAGTGACATCATACTGCTGACCTCATAGGATGGCTACAAAGATCAAATAAGATGCGTACCAAGCCCCAGGAAGAGAGCAAGCGCTCATTTAATGACTGTGTGTAGCAGGAGGTCCCCAGCTCAAAATCCATCCAAATGAAATTCTTGCTGTTATTCCCAACAGCAAGTCACCTTGCAGGCTGAAAAGTGCAATATTATTATTCCCTAGCAGTTTCCAGCTCTCTCAGTCTTGTCCAGGCCCCCTCTCTTGCTGTCTTGGAGATAACGCTTTTGATTTTCCTCCCAGAGTTTCCACAAGGCCACCTTGCACGTGGATGAGGCTGGCACCAGGGCTGCAGCAGCCACCAGCTTCGGGTTCACATTTTTGTCTGCCCAGATCAATGAGCACGTCCTGCAGTTCAACCGGCCCTTCCTTGTGGTGCTCTTTTCCACCAACACCCAGAATATCCTCTTTCTGGGCAAGGTCGTCGACCCCACGAAACCATAGCCCTCCCAGGGCTGCTCATCTGTTCCAAGCAGGAGGATGCAGCAGGGGAGGGCTGGGCATGAGTAGCTCTGTGTTTAAGCTGGGGAGAAGGAAGATGCTGAGGGTCCAGGACAGCAGGTGTTGGCTGCAGAGGAGTGGGGAGTGACACTGAGATGGGCACGGCCTGGACACTCCGCTCCCTGGGGCTGCGCAGCCTGACAGAGCAGCCAACCTCTTGGAGCAAGTTCCTGTCTCTAGACACGGGGAGGACCCTTTCTACAACAGGGCAGTTGTACCGAGCCAACAACATGATGCCGTGAAGACCCTGGTTCAGTGTCTCGCATGTGGTGGACACTCAATAAATGCATCCTCTGCCTGTCCCTCTGAGGTTTGCCCCAGACTCCCCTGGCAGACCTGGTCCTAGACACAAAGTATGAGGAGCTCCAGGTTCCATTCCAGTAGGTTTTCCAGGTTTATGGAAAGGGGACAGGGTGTGTGCAGTCAGCTGCCTCAGGCAGGGCTGGTACCTTGCTCCAGAGCAGGGGCTAAGGAAGCCACAGGATGGCAGACACCACCAGAACGGACTCCACAGGGACCTGGCCAGGAGGACTTGGTGACACCATCAGTGTGGGCTCCACAGGGACCTGGCCAGGAGGACTTGGTTACACCATCAGTGTGGGCTCCACAGGGACCTGGCCAGGAGGACTTGGTGACACCATCAGTGTGGGCTCCACAGGGACCTGGCCAAGGGAGCTTGGTGACACCATCAGGGCGGGCTCCACAGGGACCTGGCCAGGAGGGTTTGGTGACACCATCAGGGCAGCCTCCACAGGGACCTGGCCAAGGGGGCTTGGTGACACCATCAGGGCGGGCTCCACAGGGACCTGGTCAGGAGGGCTTGGTGACATCATCAGGGTAGGCTCCACAGGAACCTGGCCAAGGGGGCTTGGTGACACCATCAGGATGGCCTCCACAGGGACCTGGCCAAGGGGGCTTGGTGACACCATCACTGTGGGCTCCACAGGGACCTGGCCAAGGGGGCTTGGTGACACCATCAGGGCAGGCTCCACAGGGACCTGGCAAGGAGGACTTGGTGACACCATCAGGGAGGACTCCACAGGGACCTGGCCAAGGGGGCTTGGTGACACTACCAGGGTAGCGTCCACAGGGTCCTGGTCAGGGGAACCCAGTAAGGCACTAGCCCCTCCTGTGGCTACGGAGATGTGGCCCGTATCTCTCCCAGGACAATGTTTGTGGTAAGGAGCACATTGCAGACCTGGGGCCTTTTGTTTTTACATCCAGTCTCTGTGCTCTGGATCTTCGAAAATCCTTGCCCTGTTGGGCCATCAGTTTCCCCACCTCTCTGGCCCAGGTGGCCCAGCTCAGACTGTTTGAGTATGTGATGTGGGTCCACCCAGGGTCTGTGAGAAAAAATCACCCCACCCACAAGGCAAGGCAGGTCGATAGGACATGGTTCTGTTTGCCCTGAGCCTCCAATTTCTGGCAGATGCATTTCTCTGGGCAAGACCCAGTGGGTTTTCTTGATGGTCAAGTCATCAGCAGCAGCTGGGCTCCAGCACGATCTCCCGCCCTTGACCATGGACACGGAGTTCCCAGGAGAGGTAGAGCTGGGAACAATCCAGCCAGGAAGGACCCTATCTTTCCTTTTCCTTGGCCTGGCTCACCCTGTGCTTTCAGAACCTGGCAACAGTTCCCACACTCTTTCCTATCAGCTGCTCACCCATCTGCCAGGCAGCCCGTTTCACTCCCACTCGGTGGCATCCAGGTTGCCAGCACATTCAAAACCAGAATTCCTGGTTGTAAGTCCCAGTTGAGCTCCTTAGAAGCTGTGTGATCCTGGGGAAGTCATTTCACCTCTCTGGGTATCAGTATCTTCGTCTATAAAGTGGGATGACCTCGTAGGGCTGTTGGGAGGATTGAACAGTGACTGTATATGTCAAGTCTTAACAACAGTGCTACGCAAACATTAGCTTTATTATGATTACCCTCGTTCCCGTGGCCCTGACAGTCATGCTACCCCCATAGGCTCTCTCCCCACCAAATCCCACTGCCATCTGGGGACCCCAAATCTTTCTCATGTTGCCACTTTCACTACTCAGGAAAATTGACATTGAGTCCCAGCCAGGGGAAGTTCCAAAAAGGCAGAAGTTTTATAGGCCCTTCTCACCATGCTGGTGCCTGAAGTTCCTAACTGAGCTTCCAGAAGGTTCTAGGTAAGCCTTCAGCCCTCAGCTCTCCTCTCTTGGTAGATCCACTGGGGGCAGAGTCTCCCCTCAGAGTCTGTCCTGGACTGAAAGATGGGGCCTGTTACTTTAGGACCAGCTCAAAGAATCTTCTAGGCTTTGGGAATCATGGCTGCCTGCCGCGTCCCTCCAGGGCACTTGCTCAGTGTCCAGGACGCCTAGGGCTGATACTGTAAACTCAGCCATGGGCTTCAGAACCAGACCCAGCTGACCCAGGCTCTTGGCTCTGGCAAACAGAACATCTCACTGTCACAAACCCAGAATTTTCATCAAGGAGAAGGTAATCAGAGGAAGAGGAAGGAGAGCCACCTCCAGTGTTGATGATCCTTTAAGAGTCAAAATATTCCGGGATTTGTGTGACACCATCCCTGGTCCAAATAATGCTGCAACCACAGGAAGAGGCTCATTGCAAGGAAACCAGGAAATTGATATTTGGAGCAATAGACAGACCACTCTTTTACAGTGGAAACTTCCTTGCAAAAGGGAGGAAGATGGAAGGAGAAAGACCAAAAGGATTTCTCTCCCTTCCTGCCCCTAAAATATAGCCCTGAGCTGGACATGAGTACAGCCACAGGAGAATTTGACGAGGAAATGTTCCAAAAAGGAAATTGTCCAGCAAGACCATTTTGAGTTAGTCGTACCAGCTCTGGGCTTCACTCAGGAGAAGCTGTCCAGTCAAATGCCTGAGGACACCCAAGACCTCTGGGACTCAGGGAAATGCACACCCTCCTTTCTACCCCTTGATTTTATTAGCTGAAAAGCAAGCCTGCTAAGCTCAAAGAGTGATCCATTTCCCCTTGTGCCTCCTGGGAAGCTGGAGTCTGTTTTTCAACAACCAGGCAAGAAATAAAGTAAGGCCCAGGCTGACTCGCTCCCTCATCTGGCCCCACAGAGGCAGGTGGGTGAGTGGATTCCAGAGTGGAAGAGAAGCCCGAAAGAAGGTCAGGGTCTAGGGTTACTATGGCAACAGCACGGCAGCGGGTGGGGGTGTTGAATGAGCGATGGTCTGATGGAGAGAGAAAGGAAGCAAGTCACCCTCCATTCAGCCTGGAGAGTGAGGCCTCCTTATTCTGATTCATCCCTTCCCTCTGCTACTCAAAAATAGCCAATGGCTCCCTATTGCCTACAAAATATGGTTCAAAGGCCTCTATCTACAGCCAAGGCCCTCCCTGATCTGGTCACTGCCTGCTTATTCTGCCTCAGTTCTTCCTCTTGCTGTCATGTGCCCAGTGACTGCAGTCACAGAAAGTCTTGTTTTCCCAGGTCCCCTGTAGAGTCCCACCTCCAAGAATCTGTACTCTCTCAAGATCTCACAGAAACCCCTCATCTCCCTAAGGCAGACTGTCAACCCACCATCAAACATGGTTAGCCTGAGGAGAATGTCTACTCCCACCCCCACCATCCCTATTAGATAGGACATCTCAAAGGGGGGCCCTGTTCACCCTGCACTCCTTCACCTCACCTGGCCCCAGTGCCAACTGGATATGAGAGAGGCCCAACTAGTATCTGTTGCATGAATGAATGAATAAGTGAACGAACGAGTAGAAAAGGTTGAGCCAGGAGCAAGGTCACCGAGCTATTTGCTCAGCATCTTTACCCCTTGACATGGCCCTGGAATTGATTGGGCAAATATTTAGTTCAGCTCCTCAGATTTCAAAATGCCCTTTGGAGCATTAAAAAGATATATATATAAAATTAAAAAGACTTCATGCAGGAGCTCTCGCCTCTGTAGAGCAGTGCCTGAGTCCACTTTTCCTTTGCTGTTCACCTGTGGGTTCTCTCATTCGTGTGGCCCTTGTTATACCACTAGTGAGGCAGGCCTCTCAAGAGCAGCTGTGAGTGCTCGAAGGAGTCATGCATGTTTGTGAGTTCAGGAGTTATCTTCCATCAGGAAAACAAAGTCTTTCTGTACTTTGCAACTGGGGGGAAGGGCAGAGGAAGCCAACGTGAGCCAAAAGAGTGGTAATGGCGTGGCCTAGTAAAAGGCGACAAGTTTGCATGACTAGTAAATTTGTGTGTAGAGAAAGGCAGCATAGGTTTATTCAATCTTTTATTCTTCCATTCAACAACTGGGAGAAAACAAACGTTTGCAAGCTCTCAACACTGCAGTTTGCCTCTGGTCACCAAAATGCGTGTGGGATTCCTCCAGCCACCAAATTGTCCAGTGGACACTAATTGGGTGTGCTGCAGTTCAATTCAATTCAATTCCGACACTCTCTACCTGGAGATAACCTCAGATCCGGCAGGTTAAGGGCTCTGTCACACAAGATGGCCCCCACTTCAGATGCCAGTTGCAAGCAGTAGGCTGACAACCATACTTTTTGACCAACTGGCTATAAAGCAGGGTTCCCACAACTCCCTCCTCAGGTTCAATTCATTAGCTATGAGGGCTCACAGAACTCAGGGAAACACTTATGCTTAGTGGTCTATTATATTAACAAAGGCTACAGATGAATAGCTAGATAAAAGAGAGTCAGAGGGCCAGGTATGGGGTACTGGGCAGAGAGCTTCCATGGTGGCACCTTCCAGGTGGTCCTCCCCCAGTGTACCACCCTCCAGGACCCTCCATGCATTCAGCTGTCCAAAAGTGCCCAAACCCTGTCCTTTGGGGTTTTTACGGAGGTTTCATTACCTAGGCATGATTGATTACATTATTGGCCACTGGTGATCAACTCAGCCTGCGGCCTCTCTCCCAACTCTGGAGGTCATGAGGAGCAAGGTGGGCTGAAAGCTCCAACCCTCTAATTCCATGATTGGTTTCCCTGGTAACCAGATCCCTTATGAGACTGTCCAGGAGCCCACCGAGACTTGCCTCACTACAACAAAAGACGCTCCTATCACCCAAGAAACTGCAAGGGATCCAGGAGCTCTTCATCAGATGCTCTTATTACTCTGGAAATTACTAAGCTCTCAGGAATCAGACAAAATATTAAGCAAACAATTCTCTTAGTACCCCTATCTACAAGGGTGGTAGAAATCCTGTCTCAGGCACTCGGGCCAGAGACTAAATGTGCATTTCTTATTATTAATATATTACAGTTTCATGGGCTGCTAACCAGGAAGCCAGAGGGACCTCCTCAGTGTAAGGGAGGCACTTAAAATTTGAAGTCAGATAAGGCCGCAGTCCCAGCTTCTTCACTAACAATGCACTGTGGGGCAATCGCTTTACCTGTTTGGGTCTTAATTTCCTCACCTGTACATGGCAATGTCCTCTGGGCACAGAGAGCCACGGCAGCGTGGCAGCGGAAACGGGAGGATGGACATGGGATCCACTGAAGACACAGGCCTGGGAGCCCCTGACTTTTGAATCCATGGAGCAGGTGAAGGGCACATAGGAGTCTGCTCCATCCCTGACTGCCTGGGAGGGGGCCCTTCTGGAAGAAGAGGCCGAACTAATACAAACAGCTCCTGTGCTCTGAGCACCCAGAGCAAGGCATGGTGCTGAGTGCTTTCCAGCAGTTATCAAGAGGCTGCAAGCATCCAAGTACAGAACCTGGACTTAGGAGCCAGGATGATTAAATCTGAATCTGAAATCCAGCAATTACTGAGGGTATTTGTTTGCTAGGGCTGCTCTAAGGAGGGCCACAAACGGTGTGGTTTAACCAACAGAAATGCATTCTTTCCGTTGTGCAGGCCAGGAATCTGAGCTCAGTGAGGAAGAATCTATTCCACACCTCTCCCAGCTTCTCAAGGCTTTATGGCAATCTTGAATGTCCCTTAATCTCTGTCTTCCTCCTCCTGTGGAGTTTTTTCTGCATGCATGCTGGAGTCCAAATTCCTCCTTTGTAAAAGAACACCAGTAATATTGGAGTAGGGGCACAATCTACTCCGGTATGACCTCGTTTTAACTAAGTACCTCTGCAAGGACCCTATTTCTATATAAGGTCACATCCTGGGGTATTCTGGGTATGGGCTTCAACACATGAATTTGGAGGGTCAGGAGCAATTCAACCCATAACACAGGGTGAGGGACTTGGGTGGTCTCTCTGTGCCTCCTCAGTTCCCTCACCTATGGAATGGAGATGATAATACCTAACTCATAAGCCTATCGTGGGTGTTTGCTGCGTCCTGTACATATAGCACTTAAGATAGTAGTTCAGCATTAGTGCCATACTAACATTAACTGCTCTTCTATTCATCTTTTGTCACAGCTGTGTGCTGTAGAACAAAGGTGACAACTGTGTATGCCTGCCAGAGCTGGGCAGGTCACCCAAACAGTTGAAGTGGGCTGCCAGTGATGGGGCCCAGACAGGTGGGACAGTAAGAGGCTCCATTTAAAAGCATTCTGCTCCACACTGTTACATAATAATCTATGGAATGAAACTCTCCTATAGAGGAGAGAGCCCTTCGTTGCTCTTGATGCCAATGGAAAAAATTGGCCCTGACCTACCTGGTCCTTAGGTGGGGTTAACAGCTATTCTGAAAGAAGAATGCTCATTCAACAAGAACTGGGCATGAAGCCAACCATGTGTTCTGGAAAGGATACAACTGCAAAGCCCATCAAGACTGAGTTAAGGAGGCTGCCCCATCAGGCCAGCGGTGGTCGCCTTCACCAGCCCTGGCATTCTCTCTGGCTACTGAGATGCTGAGCAGGGCCGGAGAATAGACCAAATGTGGCCAGCCAAGGTCACACATCCTCAGAGCCACCCGCTCAAGTTCTCAGCTCTCCTGGAGTGGCTGACTTCAGTGGGAACGCGACTCTGCCAGCACCTTGATTCAGACTTCTGGCCTCCGGAACCGCGAGAGTGAATCCCTGCTGTTTCAAGCCACCCAGTTTGTGGTGATGAATTATGGCAGCCCCAGCAAACTGACATTCCTCTTTTCCTCCAATTTCACAGGAACAGGTGTTGCTCTTCCTGACAAACAGCTGTCTGTTCTCCTGGCCTCCTGCTATCTGAGAAAAATCTCCTTCAATTAATAACCACCTTTACCCTCCGTTCGGCTTCTTCCCCCAGACCTGGGAAGTCCCTCCCACCAATCCACAGCTCCATCTGCTCCACCTCCTTCCCAGCCTTCTCCTCAAGGAGGAATCGGCCTTGACCATCCCCTTGAAGTCTCAGCCTGCTGGCCCTGGGTTTCTGTTCCTACCTCCTCACCCAGATCACCTTGGTGGCTTCTGTGGACCAGTGGCCATCCTCATCCTACTCAAATGTTCTGCTGCATCTGACACCAACAGTGGTCTCCCTTGTCCTCCCTTGCTATCTGCCCTGGTCCTCTTCCTTCCCAGCCATCACCTTTGTGAGCTCTCTCTCTGTCTGTCTCTCTCTCTCTCTGCTCAGGCTTATGCCAAAGGTCTCAGCGTTCTATGCTTCATCCTCTTCTCTTGTTCTGTCCTCACCCCGGCATGCCCCAGACCCCATGTGCTTCCTTCACTCTAGTTCCCATCTCTGTTTTTCCCTCCAAACCTCTCTTTAGACCCATTCACCTTTGTCATCTCCACCAGCAGGCACCACAGCCCCTTCAGGCTCACCAGGTCCAAAACTGAACTCGCCATCATGCAGGCTTCTAAAACCTACCCCTCACCTCACACCAGGTCCACTTGGCTTCTTTAATGTGTCTCATCTCCTCCAGCCCCACCTCTCCTGGCTTGGCCCACACCACTCTCACCTCTCCCCTAGATTACCACAGCAGTGTCACTTGGTCCTGTTTTGATTTCCAGGTGACCATATCCATGACAGCCAAATAGAATTTCTTCCTCGTTCTCTTACAGAATGAAGTTCAACCCTGGTTCCTACCCCAGCAGTACTTCCACACCTTCCATCTGGCCCTGATCTGGCCCGGGCTTTGCTTTGTCCTCCCCTCCTTCTCTCTGACAGGCTCCTGGTGCCCCACTACCTGCTCTGCTGCTTCAGGCTGTGCTGCTCTCACTCCTGTGGCTCTCTCAGACCTCCCGCTGCTGTGCTATAAGCTCTTCTGTGCATTCACTCCTCTCTACCCAGCCAGGACTGATAAAAACCTCGACACGGTTCAAAATCCCAGATTCGAGGTCACCATCTTCACAAAGCGTTTCCTACTCCGTTCCTCTCTCCAGCCATGAGAGAATGGACCGTTCCTCCTATGTGTCTTTACTGTGGAGACATCTGCTAGGGCATCAACACTTTGTCTTTGGTTTATCTATCAAGATATTGATCTCTCTTCTTGAGGCCAGGGGTATTTTCTGGGTCACGGCTAGAGCTCAGGAAACACTGATATTGGAGGAATGAAATGAAGGAAGGATGGATGGAAGGCTATAAGGATGGGTGGATGGACAAGTGGATAGATGGATGGATGGATGAATAAATGGGTGGATGGATGGTTAGATGGTGGATGGAGGGAAGGATGGATGGATGAATGGAAGAATGGATGAATAGGTAGATGGATGGGTGGATGGATGGATGGATGGAAGGACAGATGTATGTATGGATGGATGAATGGACGGAGGGATGGATGGAAAGAAGGAAGAAAGGAAGGACAGATGGATGGATGGATGGATGAATGGATGGACTGAAGGATGGCTGAAGGAAGGCAGTGCCAGTATGTTTTAGCTCATGCAGGCAGGCAGTTGATGGGCAGAGGGAGGCATGGTGGCTGATTAAGAAAGATCATAGCAGATTTTTTTCATTTCAAGTTTTAATCAAAGTTTGCATATAAGATCACTTTATTCCTGGATCTGCTCAATTGTTTCTTCCTTGTATTTGCCCTTTTCCTTTCCTACATGACGAGATTTGGCTTTCCGTTTAAGGATCTTTTTGTGATCTTTGTCCAGTTTTACCCTAGTGATAACCACCTTGCTGGGGCGAATGCCTAGGTGGACAGTTGTGCCATTAGCCTTTTCCCCCTGCACGTATTCAATGTAGATAACCTATTTCCTCCTCTAAATCGGAACTACTTTTCCAATCTGCTGCCCTTTATACTGTCCTTCTATAACCTAAACTGCGTCATCCTTTCGGATGGGCATGGATCGCACGTTGTACTTCTGTCTCAGCTCCTTGAAAAGAGGGGAAGACACAACCTTCCTGTGAATGTGGGAAGGTGCATTGAAATGCATTTTGCAATTCTTGCTTTGGTCAGAAGTCACAAAGGGATTGAACTTCATTTTGGCAGTCCCCACTTTGATGATGGCTGCAAAAGGGAAAAGACAATAGCAGATGTTTTAGGCAAGATTAACAGCCCCATGACTGTCTCAAAGACGGAGAAGAGAAGACAAGAAAAGTGGGAAAAGTTATTAAGACACAAGCCCTAGATCAGGAGCTAGAGGCTGGATCACCGAACAAGGCAAGAGCCTAATAACTCGGGTGGCTAACTTAGTTTGCCAAGGGCTTTGCCAGTTTCAGCACTGAATACCCCATACCATCAGAAATTCCCCAGTCCCAGGCAAGCTGGAATGGTTGGTCACCCTACCAGTAATCAAGACCGGTGCCTCCACTTCAGAGCAGAACCATCAGCCAGGTCCTCAGAGACATATTTTAGGCTCCTGAACTGGTCTCCCTCAATCCCCATGAGACCCAGGATCATGGAACAGAGGGCAGGGAGGCTGGGGGCCAAGCAGAGAAGCACCTGTGCTCAGCAGGGTAAGGCATCACAGAGGCCAACACTGGTTTCTCAGCCCTTCTCCCAGAGACCACCTCCCCACTTTGATCCCTTCCCATGCCCTGCTAGGCTCGAGGACACAAAATTTTCACATTCTGGCCACTTGCCCATCCTATGTACTCACCCCGGGTGTTATGGACTGAATTTCATCTCCCCCAAATTCTTTTTTTTTTTTTTGAGACGGAGTTTCGCTCTTGTTACCCAGGCTGGAGTGCAATGGCGCGATCTCGGCTCACCGCAACTTCCACCTCCTGGGTTCAGGCAATTCTCCTGCCTCAACCTCCCGAGTAGCTGGGATTACAGGCACATGCCACCATGCCCAGCTAATTTTTTGTATTTTTAGTAGAGATGGGGTTTCACCATTTTGACCAGGATGGTCTCGATCTGTTGACCTTGTGATCCACCCGCCTTGGTCTCCCAAAGTGCTGGGATTACAGGCTTGAGCCACCGCGCCCGGCCCTCCCCCAAATTCTTATGGTGAAGTCCTAGCTCTCATTGTGACTGTTTGTAGAGATAGGACCTTAAGGGAGGTTATTAAAATTAAATAAGGCTCTAAGGGTGGCATCCTAATCTGATAAGACGGATGTCCATGTAAGAAGAGGAAGAGAAACCGTAGAGCTCACTCTCTCCCCCTGCCCACCCCCTCTCTTGATGTGTGTGTGTGCATGTATGTGTGTGTCCAGTGCGGGCTCACAGGGAAGAGGCCATGGGAAGACAGAGTGAAAAAAACCATCTACAAGGCAGGCACAGGGCCCTCACCAGAGACCAACCCTAACAGCACCTTGAGCTTGGATTTCCAGCCTCCAGAACCGTAAAAAAATAAACGTCTGTTGTTTAAGCCACCCAGTGTCTGTTAAAGCCAAGCCAGGGTGAGGTATTTTGTTACGGCAGCCATGGAAGACGGATACACTGGGGTGCCGTGCCCCCAAGACCCTGTCCAAATCTCTCCTTTCAAAACTCACCACCCTCAGTCCTGATTCCTTCAGAGCTCTTTCCAAGTGAGAGTGGAAGCCGTGAATTATCTCAGACTTACCCCCAAATTCTCAAGATGTTCCTTAAAATATGAGCTTGGGAAACAGCACGTGCTGTCTTTCCCTCCTGAGCGGTCAGAGCACAGACAGCACACACAGGCTGGAGAAGGGCCACAGGCCCTTGCTTAGCCCACCTTTCCCAAAGCGGTTTCATCTGGAACCCATTTTGGCGGTGTTGCACTAGTTTCTGATGGCCGCTCTAAGAAGTTATCACAAACAGTGGCTCAGACAACACAAAATTATTCTTTCACGGTCGCAGAGGCCAGAGGCCTCACTGGACTAGAATGAAGATATTGGCAGGGCTCTACTCCTTCTAGAGGCTCTAGAGGAGCATCCATTCCTTGCCCTCTCCAGCTTCTAGAAACTCCCTCACTCCTTGGCACCTGGTTCCCACATCACATTGACTTTTCCCCTCCTGCTTCCACCATCGCATCACCTTCTTCTGACTCCACTCCTGCCTCTTTCTTGCAAGGACCCTTGTGATTCTTGTGAGGACCCAGCTGGATAATCCACGACAATACCTTCAAGATCCCAACTTAATCACATCTGCAAAGTCCCTTTCATCAAAAAAGATAATAGCCACAGGTTCTGGGTATTAGGACACGGGTATCTTTGGGGTTCCATTACTCACCATAACTGGTACGCAGTGCTGATTTCCATCCTGCAGGTACCGTTGAGAAATCTCTAGGTTAATGAGATACAGGATTCTTGCTCATGTCACATGGCATAATGGGAAGACAGCCAAACCTAGAAGGAGGGGACTCAGCTTCCCTTGTTAGAGCCTTTTCTTATTAACTGTGGGATTTGGAACTGATTCCCTGACCTGCTCGGTTCTTTCTTCTCTCCACTTCAATGGGAATGAACTGTGAGGGTGCTGAGCAAAAACTAAGGGCTCTATACCTAAGAGTAGTGGGACTTGCCTCTGGATAACTGGTGGTGATTGCACCTGCCCCTGGATACCCAGGAGTGATCCCGCCTGCCTCTGGATACCCAGCAGTGGTCACGCCTGGCTCTCGACACCCAGTCGCAACTGTGTTTTCCTCTAGATACCCGGTAGTGACTGTGCTTTCTTCTAGAGAGGTCGTAGCAGTTGGACTTGGCTCTAGATACCATGTGTTCCTCACTAGATGGGGCCGAGATCAGTGTCTCCCTGGAAGGATTGTTGTAACGATGAAAAGAGATAATGTGTGTAAAGCACTTGGCATAATGTGTGGTCTTTGTTTAAAGTTTGAATAGGTACTAGTTCTTATTATTTCTGTGGATATCTGACAGCCCTGTAATTGGGCCCCAAAACCATGAAGAAGGAGGAAGAAATGTCTTAAAGGTTATCAACAGACTGTGTTTTCTGAACATCAAGATCACTTTCTGGGTATTATCTCTGACTTGCTCTATCAACTCCACACCCCACCTGCAGTCACAAAACCTTCCATGATCATGACCATACACAACATACTGTGTCCCCCAGGCATGGGGACCTTGGAAACGTGACCAGGCTTCAGCCAGCATCCTGCACCGGTGTCTTGGAAATGCTCTTAAGAGTATGTGGCTGAGTTAGGGATCCTGATTTCAAAGTAGAAAGGGAGAATCCATCCAAGCCCAGAGAAATCCTGAATGCAGCTCCTTTCTAAGCAAAAAGCACTGGCCGTGGAGTCATCACCAACCCCACTCTGCCCCTAATTAGAGGCATGACTGAAAATTCCCTTCATTCTTCTGAGCCCCAATTCAGGGGTTGGTGCAGTCACAGGCTTGGCTACAGTGACCCGTCATCGCTGGTATGGTGAGACTCTCAATCCCTCCCATTTCCACTAAAACTGACTGCTGGGATCTATGACCCAGTCAGCATAGCGGGCCTGTGGGGAGCTCTCGTGCTCAAGTGCATGCTCCCCCTGATCTACAGGAAATTAGCTGCAGAAAACCAAGGAATCGAACCTTGAAAGAGAGAGGGTTAGCTAGTGCTGTCCCTTTCCCTGTCTCTAGAATACCAATAATGGGAACCCTCTTTGATCTTGTCTCTCAGGATTGCCCATGTCATTCCAGGCAAATGGTGGCCTGGCTGGCAGCACAAGGCTTGGGGAGCAGCTAGTGGGCATTGCGGTCAAAGCCTCTGGATCAGACAGCTGTGTCTGCAGGCAGGCCTGCTGGCTGGAAACCTGGCAGGAAAGGAGAGGCTGGCAGGGGCGGGGCCAGGGAGGGGTGGAGACTGGGCCGGCTGTGGTCAGTGACAAATGCTGGCTGCAGTCCAGCCAGCCCTCTGCCCTTTCCTGAGCCTGAGGGACTGCCACCTCCACTCTGTGCACGCTCAGCCGCAGGATACAGTAAGTACAGATACCACAACGGGAGGTCCCGTGGGCTTGAGGGCATGTGAGGCCAGGAGAGGATGGACTCTAGAGTTACGGGGTTTGGAGGCTGCAAAGCTCTAGAGGAGTCTCACCTTTGCAGTGTCGGGTAATAAGCAGGGGCTCCCAAGGCAGCAGAGGTGAGTGCATCCCCCAAGCTCTGTGACTTTATGCTCCACACTAACTCTGGCAGAACTTCCGTTTCCTCATAGTAAGATGGAAATAATTATACCCTCCGCATGGTGGGACTGAAGGTTAAATACAGCGGGTGCTCTCACTCAGCGTATCTGGCTATGTCTGCAGACAGGTTTGGTTGCCCCAACTGGAGGGAGGGCCTGGGTTAGTGACATCTAGAGGCCAGCGATGCTGCTTGTGATCCCACAATGCCCAGGACAAGATCACAAGCAGCATCCTGTTCAAAAGGTCAGCAGGCTCAAAGTTGAGAGACCTTTTGACCTGTTGAACAAGACCTGTTTTGAAAGGCCCTGTTGACCTTTTGAATAAGACCGTGGGGACAAAATGCTGGCTGGACAGGAGGCGCTCAGTAAATGGCAGCTTCCGTTGTTTTCTGTGCGGGGGGTCTTGGGCCTTAAGAAATCAAGAACAACCATCCAGTATTATCTGCTTCCCTGAGATAAGGACATCTTGCCTGGAGGCTGCCACCCAGGCCGGTCAAGGCAGCTGCTCAAGAGAGCCAGGAACCACTTGGCAGTTTGTTAAATGAACAAAATGTAGAAATAAAGTAAGCAGAATGTTTAGTTTTTCTGAGAGTAGGGCTTTGGGCCAGATAGACAATATTGTAAGGGGAAACCCCTCCCTTGGGACAGTGTCCTCACTCCTAGATCAGGAAACTGAAGTGTGAAGAATGCAGGCTGCAGATGCCTGGAGATGACGGACATGTTCATGGTGTTGACAGTGGTGATAAGTAACAGATGTGGACTCACCTCCAAACTTGTCAAGTTGTAGACATTCAATATGTGCAACTTTTTAAAGAGCAGTCATGTCTCCATCAAGTGGTTTTAATAAAGAAATAAAATGAAGCCAGAGCTGGCAGGGAGGGAGTTTTTCAAGGTCACCTGGCAAGCGAGCCCTGGGGTGGGGAGAGCTCAGCTCTGGGTGGCCAGCCTGGCTTTTTCCACTACTCGGTGTCCAGCTTGCAGTGCAATGTCGCTGAATCACAGAGAAGGAGACAGGGGTCAGTTCATTCATTCATTCATTCATTCTACAAAGGTGTATGGAGCATCTCTCATGACTGCAAACTCTTGAAGGTGAGAGCAGCACAGACGAGGGTCCCATGGAGAGAGAGGCCGGAATGAAAAATGTCAATGACAAATGCATATATAAGGGGACATGTGTAATTGAAGGAGCTTAGAGAGAAACAGTCAAGGGACTGATCCAGAGAATAGCTGTGGAAGGGGAAAAGGTCCGGCATGATGGGGTGTTGCAAAGAAGTGGCATTTAAGCAGAGGCCTGCAGCTGATGCGGAAGCTGGCCATGGTGAGAAAGCACGGGGGAGGATTCCAGTAGAGAGGGAAGGTGTCCAAAGGCCCAGGGATAAGACAGAACTTGCTGCATTTGAGAGACTGGGAAAAGAAGAGTGAGCCTGGGGGTACCACATGACCCAGGTCAAGGCTAGGTGGAGCCAGTTCACAGGAGCGCTTGTGGGTTAGAGCACAAATCAAAGTTAGCATCGACCTGAAACACAGGAGTTGGCCCTGAGTTTCTTAGGTGAGGAAGCGCTGAGACCATGTTTATGATTGAAGGAGATTCTTTTATATGCTGCATATAGAATGCCTTGTAGGGCAAAGAAAGGAAGCTACTGGGGTGTCTCAAGGGAAGATGGTGGGAGCTTCCATCAGGGGGCAGTGAGAAAGCCAGAGACAGGCAGCAGCTTTAAGGCCTGTTTTGGAGATAGAACTGACAAGCTTTGCTGATAGGCTGCAGTGGAACCAGAAGGCAAGATGACTTCTCCCGGGAAGTTCTGCTTCTGGGTCTAGAGGAAGCCATGATGTCGTCTCTCATCTCTGCTTGGGATCCAAGCCTCACATCCCTTTTCGTAATGAGCAGATACTGGACAGACCCTCCTCAATAACACACTTCCCACAGCTAAGTGCAACATGTGCCTGGGCAGGACTTCATTGCCCAACACAGGAAACATGAGCCAGCAGATTTTAGCTTCGTGGGTGGTGCAGTGGGGGGGCCAGGGGAAGGACTGACCAAGGCCTACCCACCACATCCCCACCACCTGTCAACTCAACTCACCTTGGCCTGGGATGACAGATGAACTCGACTGATCCCCTCTCTTCCCTCTGCACCAACACTAAAGCCAGGAACCCAGGAGAGGGGTAGCCTGACTAGGCTCTCAAGGCACTCGGTTGAGGCTGGTCTGGGGAATGGGAGGCTCCCAGGGCTTCACCTGTCTGTTAAAGCCATATATTTCCACCAGATGCCCAGGAGTGTGATGGCAAACCTGGCTTCAAAACTAAGAAATGTAAAACAAGCAGTAGGGGCTCCGCCGCCTCTTGGAGGGAACTCTCTGACCCTCTGTTTCTTCTTCTGCATGGTTAGGATAGTAAAACCGACTCCATGTTGCTGTGGAGAAGTACAAAGGAGCTAATACAGGTGAACTGCCTGGGGATACCAGGAGGGGGGGTCAAGGGGTATCACTCCTCAGAGCCTCTCAGAGACAGGCTGTGCGTGAGTCAGAGGAACCTGGATTTTAAGTCTGGTTCCATCACTCAATCGCTGAAACAAGCTATTCCATTTTGCTTAGCCACAGTCTATTCAATCTGTAAATAGAGTGAGTAACGCTTATTTTTGGTGAAGGTTAAATGTAGTAATATGTATGGAGGGTCTAGCAGGTTTTTAATAATTAGTGGTTTTACTAATTACTAATTAGGGGGCCCAGAGGGAGCAAGCTTTCTGCATCTCAAACGTGTAACCCTGGAGAGCCTAGGTGAACCCGTGGCCCTCTCCAAACAGACCCTGGGGAGACTCAGTGCACGCCAGGAGAAGCAGCTCCTCCCCATCCGATCTCTAGTGCTTGGAAGGGGGCAGGGGGCTCTGAGGGGGTGTCCATAGCACATGGCTGACTGCAGATGAAGAAACTGAGGCCCAGAGAGGGTGGGGCTTGCCCAGGGTGACCTAGCAGCTGCATAGATGGGAGAAAGGAGGCCAGAGCCTCACCGAGACTCTCTGGTCAGCTGCCCCTGGGCTCTATCCAAGAAGGAAACTCCCCTGCTTCTGAAGCTGTTTTGGAAAGCATTTCTTTGAGGGGAATTATCAGCTCAGTGTGGCTCTGCGGGGGGTTGAGCCACATTGTTTCTTCAGCAGCATCTCCACACATGGCTGGTCCCAACACTTGGCAGGAGGGACCAGATTGTGCTGTGACACAGACTCATTTAGAGGAGCCAGAGATTAAACCACCCACCCATGTCCTTCAAAACTCTCCAGGCAAGTGCCTCCGTGGGAACAGGCAGGGAGTGTCAGCAGAGGGAGCGGGGGACTCTGCTGCTCATTATCTGCAGATTAGGGCTATTGTTGGTGGCTACTAAGTCAGGGATTTCCAAATCCGGAAGATTCGGCACAGGACGGAGGAGGCAGGACTCTGCAGAGACAGAGCTATACAGTGGTTCCCAGTGTGGACTTGGAGGGTCAGAACTGGTATGAGTCCAAGCTTTGCTAATGTTAGCAAGTGACTCCATCTCTATGAAACTCGGATTACCCGTCTGTAAAATAGAGCTGGTAGCTGGACGTACCTTTCTGGGTGGTGCAAGGCTAAAGGAGTTGGCGCAGTGCTGAAAGTGGGTGCAGGCAATGTGCCCAACTGCTATGGCTGCCTGGTTCAGTCCTGGGTTTGGTTTTGCAGGCAGACCTTCTACATGAGCCTCCTTCTCAGAGGGAGCTCAGGGAACAATTTCTAGACTGGGCTGGCAAGGGTGACCTGCTGGAGCTATTCAACTTTGCTTAAAGCAGGCCTGCAGCCCAGGCCTGCCCAATCCCTGAGACCATCTCTTCCCACTGCTGAGCCCCATGGCCACTCTGCAAGCCATTTCCCACACAGTTGTCTGAGGCCCTTTGGAGTTTGGTTTTAATTGCATTACGGGATGCTGTGGCAGGCTGCCCTTGCCTTCTGTGGATCTGGGGGACCTGATGACATTGTGCCCATGGAGATAGCCTAGCAGAAATGGATTCCCTCCAAGGCGACACACAGGGCAAAGCCCACATCAAAAGCCAGGCAGGTCCTCTGTACCTGGGAATTAGTGCCAGGTTCACACAAATGTGTGTGTGTGTGTGTGTGTGTGTGTGTGTGTAAAGCATGTACCTCATGGTACAGTTGAGAAAATGGGGGCCCCAGATGAGGCTGTTGCCAGACACTGCCATGCCCATGGCTCACACTTCCACAGCACATGCCCCCAGCATCCCATGGTGCAAGTGCTGTTACCACCTCTACCTTACAGTTGTGGAGCAGTGGCTCAGGATGTAACCCAAAATCACACTGCAAGGACACAGCAGGGCTGAGATTTGAACCTGGGCAGTGGCTTCAGATCCTGGGCTGTTTCCTACTACAAAGGAAGGAGGGAGGACTTCTACCCATAGCCAGAGGGGGAGGCATGGGCACAGGAACTGCTCCTGGGTGAAGTGGAGGGGAAAGAGGAGGACTGAAGTGAAGACCACGTCAGGAGTGATGGGAGACCCCACAAAGGTCCCCTAGGAAGAGCCAGAGACAAAAACGAGTGCCTCCTTGTCTGGAAGTCGAAGAGATGTCTTTGCCTGCTTGGCTGCCGTCACCAAGTCCCACAGGCTAGGGGGCTTCAACGACAGAAATTTCTTTCTTTACAACTCTGGAGGCTGGAAGCCTGAGACTAAGGTGCTGGCAGGATTTGCTCTTTCCAAGGCCCCTCTCCTTGGCTCGCAGGTGGCTGTCTTCTCACTGCATCTTCACCCGGTCTTCCCTCTGTGCGTGTCTTTATCCTGATCTCTTTTTAATTCTTTTGTAAGGACACAGTCATATTGGATTAGAGCCCACTCTAGTGACCTCATTCTAACTCAGTCCCCTCTTTAAAAGCCCTATCTCCAAATATAGTCACATTCTGGTGTATTGAAGGTTAAGACGTCGGCATATGCATTGGGGTGGGGGGAACACAGTTTAGCCCAGAACAGAAGAGGATGGTGGGGACGCTCGCCTGAAGAGGGCAGGCAGAATTCCCTTAGGAGGGGAAGGTGTCTGTGGGACAAGGCTGACCTGGAGCAGTGCCTGGGGGAAGGACAAGAGGATGGTGGGCATCCTGGTATCCTGCCTGCCCCAGGGGGGATGCTCACTCCGTGTTTGCTGAAACAACAGGGCAAGGCCAGCAGTGCTGAGGGCCCCAGGCATGTAGCTGGTCTGAATTCATAGAAGGACCACAGGGCCCTGCCATGTGCCAAACCAGCGTGAAGGCCTGAAGCTCACACGCAAGCAGCTTAGTTCTCCAGTAACCCGGGGGTGCTGACCAGACAGAACAGAGCAGGGGGAACCCTCTCCCTCCATATTCCATCCCCCAAAATGTGTCCCTGGAGGTGGATGAGCAGGGAGGATTCCTGCCTGGCAGCCAGGCCCCTGCCTTGTGTCTACACCTGCTCTCCCTCCTCCTTCCTCACCCCATTGTCCCTAAATCTTTGTCCTGGAGCCACTACTGCCCGATGTAAACCCCTATTCCCAGTCTTAGGGGTGCCATCCCTTCTCTTTGAAGCTGAAGGGACCAAACCTAGCATTGGGTGGGGACATCTCTGGAAAGTCAGCGCCCCGACAAGCCCCACCCCTCTCTGAGGACACCTTCTCTCCCTTTCAGAACAAAGGACAGCCGCCATGCAGCTCTTCCTCTTCTTGTGCCTGGTGCTTCTCAGCCCTCCGGGGGCCTCCCTCTACCGCCACCACTCCCGGGAGGTGAAGAATAGAGTCAAGGACCTCCATGTAGGTGACATGGTGGCCCCCAGCAGCAGAAAGGACTTCACCTTTGACCTCTACAGGGCCCTGGCTGCCACTGCCCCCAGCCAGAACGTCGTCTTCTCCCCCGTGAGTGTCTCCATGAGCCTGGCCATGCTCTCCCTTGGGGCTGGGTCCAGCACCAAGACACAGATCCTGGAGGGTCTGGGCCTCAACCTGCAGGAGGGCTCGGAGGAGGAGCTGCACAGAGGCTTCCAGCAGCTCCTGCAGGAGCTCAACCAGCCCAGAGATGGCTTCCAGCTGAGCCTTGGCAACGCCCTGTTTACAGACCCAGTGATGGACGTGCGGGACACCTTCCTGAGTGCCATGAAGACGATGTACTTGTCGGACACTTTCCCCACTAACTTTAGGGACTCTGTGGGGGCCCTGAAACAGATCAATGATTATGTGGCAAAGCAAACAAAGGGCAAGATTGTGGACTTGCTTAAGAACCTCGACAGCAACGCAGTCATGGTCATGGTGAATTACATCTTCTTTAAAGGTAAGGCCCTTGGGCCCAAACCTTTACCTGCTCTGGCTTTTCTGCTGCTCTTATCTAAAGAATACGCAGTTCCCTCACATACGTAAAGGAGGGGGAGTAGATTAAGCTCTTCCTGGGACCTGTTGAGAAAAATTAAATGAACAAGCAGCCAGAAGAGGTAAGGTGGGTGCCTTCTTGCTGTAGACGGGGTTAGTGAGCCTGGAATGCTGTTTCTTCCATGGTGGAAGAACTGTTTGCTGTTTTGGGGCCACTGGGAACCTCTGAAGGCCCAGCTTCCCTACAGGCTTTGAAACATGAGCCCATTTTGGCCACCATGACAAAGACACCAACACCTCAGCCACTCGGGTCAGGACACGGACCCCAGAAGGGCTTAGAGGGCATTTCCCAGCTCCCCATATCCCCCAGATCCTGGAAACTCTGACCTCATAGAGGCCGAGACTCCCTCAGACAAATGCTTGTTCCTCTGAAATGCCTTCTCCCGACTCCTCGTCAAGAGCTGACCTCTGCTTGTTATCTCCCCGACTCTTCTTGCAAGCATTCCTGCTCCCGTCTGCAGCTCCGGGCCACCAGGGGCCAGAAAACAAGAGTGGATAGAGAGGGGAAGGGAAAAGAGGAGAGGAGAGATTGGGAAGGGGTGGGAAAAGAAGTGAATTGTTAACACCTCCCCTTCCTGTGGTCACAGATCATATCTTTGGCCATTTGGGTGGCTTTAACAAAATACCATGAACTGGGTGTCTTCACAAGAACAAAAACATATTTCTCATAGTTCTGGAGGCTGAGAGGTCCAGGGCCGAGGCACCAGCAGATTCAGTGCCCGTTCCTTGGTTCGTAGATGGTGACTTCTTAATATGTCCTTGCTCGGTGGAAGGAGCAATGCAGCTCTCTGTGGCGTCTTTTGTAAGGACGTCAATCCTGTTCATGACAGATCCATCCCCATGACCTAATCACCTCCCAAAGGTCCCCTGTCCTAACACCTCCACCTTGGGGGTTAGGTTTCAATGTATAAACAATGTGGGAACAAACACTGAGCCCACAGCAATGAGTGTCAAACTTGGGCTCTATCCCCTGGTCCCCATTACATCAGACTGCTGAGGACAACGGTGAAATAAGCTAAGCATGGTGCTGGGTGGGGTCTTCCTTTGATCATGATCAAGACGTTAGAAACAGGCTGGACACGGTGGCTCACACCTGTAATTCCCAACAATTTAGGAGGCCAAGATGGGCAGATCACTTGAGGTCAGGAGCTTGAGACCAGCCTGGCCAACATAGTGAAACTCTACCTCTACTAAAAAATATACAGAAATTAGCTAGGTGTGGTGACGTGCACCTGTAATTCCAGGTATTCAGGAAGCTGAGGCAGGAGAATCGCCTGAACCTGGGAGGTGGAGGTTGTAGTGTGCTGAGATTGTGCTACTGCACTCCAGCCTGGGTGACAGAGGGAGACTTCATCTCAAAAATAAATAAATTCATTAATTAAAATAAAAAGAAGTTGGAAACAATCACTTACAGCATTTAGTTCAGAAGTTCCCATAGGAAGGTCAGAGAAGGATAATTGAAGGCTTCCCAAAGGGAAGAGCCATTAATTCCCAGGACTCATACTAACTTCTCTCCAAAACTCAGATCAAAATATTGAGAAGAGACTGAAAACAGAGAAACTCACCCAGATACCAGGCAGCATTCACAGCCAGCCCATCTTTTACCCTCTTAACTAGGAGATTTGGCCTTGAGTAACATTAGAGGATCAAAGAACATCAGGGGTCCAGGGCCTCTGCAGATGTGGAAACCAACCTCCTTTTATTGCAAATGTGGAAGGAAAAGTCCCACAAGAAGTCCAAGAATAAGGCCGGGCGCGGTAGCTCACGCCTGTAATCCCAGCGCTTTGGGAGGCCGAGGCGGGTGGATCACGAGGTCAAGAGATCGAGACCATCCTGGTCAAAATGGTGAAACCCCATCTCTACTAAAAATACAAAAAATTAGCTGGGCATGGTGGCGTGTGCCTGTAATCCCAGCTACTCAGGAGGCTGAGGCAGGAGAATTGCCTGAACCCAGGAAGCGGAGGTTGCAATGAGCCGAGATCGCGCCATTGCACTCCAGCCTGGGTAACAAGAGCGAAACTCGGTCTCAAAAAAAAAAAAAAAGGAAGTCCAAGAATATGCCCAAATGTTGTAAAGGGACTTGCCTTGAAATTCAAAAGGTTGAACAGTCACTGCTCTGAGGCTGCCATAAAGGTGGTCTCTGCTGGCTATCTTTACTGTCTTCACTCCTTTTATTTGAAGCTGAGAATTTCTAATTCTTATACAAAAAATTATCTTTCATTTTTCCCTTTTTTCACCTTTAGCTAAGTGGGAGACAAGCTTCAACCACAAAGACACCCAAGAGCAAGACTTCTATGTGACCTCGGAGACTGTGGTGCGGGTACCCATGATGAGCCATGAGGATCACTATTACTACTTCCTGGACCGGAACCTCTCCTGCAGGGTGGTGGGGGTCCCCTACCAAGGCAACGCCACAGCTTTGTTCATTCTCCCCGGCGAGGGAAAGATGCAGCAGGTGGAGAATGGACTGAGTGAGAAAACGCTGAGGAAATGGCTTAAGATGCTCAGAAAGAGGTACTTAGAGCCCAGCCCAGGGCTGGCCTACCCCCACACCAGCCTCAGGGAGAGACACACCTGTCCTGCCAGGGCCACGCAGCAGGGAAGGACTTGCCCAGCCAAGAAGCTGCCTCTAAACCCTGAGGCATCCTGTGACATCCAGGTCCCAGGCACCTAGCCCGGCTAGAGGGACAAGGGCTGGAAGGTGGATTTCTTAGGGTGGTGCCAGAGTGGGCAAAGACCTCTGGGGCAGCCCATGTCCAGGTCCAGAGCAAAACGAGCCTCATCCTAGACAAGAGGCCAGAGGAGCTATAACCACCACTGTTCCTTGGGTTAAAGTGTTCCTTATTAAACAATCAAAACTAAGAATTCAGTACATTCTGAAGCCAAGGAGTGAGGCTCAGTGTGCCAATACCCTAGAACAGGCTAAGAAAGCCCCTTTTCCATTTCCAGGCAGTTCGAGCTTTACCTTCCCAAATTCTCCATTGAGGGCTCCTATCAGCTGGATAAAGTCCTCCCCAAGCTAGGAATCAGTGATGTCTTCACCTCCCATGCTGACCTGTCCGGCATCAGCAACCACTCAAACATCCAGGTGTCTGAGGTGGGTCCAAAAGCTCCTGTGCATCTGCTTTCCAAGATCTATTCTATACTATTCTATTCTTTTTATTCAACTCTACCTCACTCCATTCCACTCCATTTCACTCCACTCCACTCCAGCCCACTCCATTCCATTCCACTCCATTCCACTCTGTTCCATTTTACTCCACTGCATTCCACTCCACTCCACTCCAGCCCACTCCATTCCATTCCACTCCATTCCACTCTATTCCATTTTACTCCACTGCACTCCACTCCACTCCAGCCCACTCCATTCCATTCCACTCCATTCCACTCTATTCCATTTTACTCCACTGCATTCCACTTCACTCCAGTCCAGCCCACTCCATTCCATTCCCCTCCATTCCACTCTATTCCATTTTACTCCACTGCATTCCACTCCACTCCACTCCAGCCCACTCCATTCCATTCCCCTCCATTCCACTCTATTCCATTTTACTCCACTGCATTCCACTCCACTCCACTCCAGCCCACTCCATTCCATTCCCCTCCATTCCACTCTATTCCATTTTACTCCACTGCATTCCACTCCACTCCACTCCAGCCCACTCCATTCCATTCCCCTCCATTCCACTCTATTCCATTTTACTCCACTGCATTCCACTCCACTCCACTCCAGCCCACTCCATTCCATTCCCCTCCATTCCACTCTATTCCATTTTACTCCACTGCATTCCACTCCACTCCACTCCAGCCCACTCCATTCCATTCCCCTCCATTCCACTCTATTCCATTTTACTCCACTGCATTCCACTCCACTCCACTCCAGCCCACTCCATTCCATTCCACTCCATTCCACTCTATTCCATTTTACTCCATTGCATTCCACTCCACTCCACTCCAGTCCACTCCATTCCATTCCCCTCCACTACATTCCACTCCACTCCTTCACTCCATTTCACTCCACTCTTCCATTTCATTCCACTCCAGGCCACTCCACTCCACTCCACTCCATTCCATTCTATTCTATTCTATTCTACTCTATTCTATTCCATAACATTTCATTCCATTCCGCTCCACTCCACTCCATTCCATTCTATTCTATTCTTTTTTTTTTTAATTTCATTTTAAGGTTTTGGGGTACATGTGAAGAACATGTAAGATTATTGCATAGGTACACACATGGAAGTGTGGTTTGCTGCCTTCCTCCCCATCACCTATATCTGGCACTTCTCCCCATGTTATCCCTCCCCAACTCCCCATCCCCCACTGTCCCTTCCCTAGTTCCCCACCACAGAGCCCAGTGTGTGATGCTCCCCTCCCTGTGTCCAAGTGTTCTCATTGTTCAACACCAACCTATGAGTGAGAACATGCAGTTTTGGATTTACTATTCTTGTGTCAGTTTGCTGAGAATCATGGTTTCCAGGTTCATCCATGTCTCTACAAAGGACATGAACTAATCTTTTTTTATGGCTGCAGAGTATTCCATGGGCATATGTGCCACATTTCCCCCCTCCTTCTCCCTCTCTCTCTCTCTTTTCCCACAAGAAGCAAATGTTTCATTTTGTGTCTTTTCCTTTATGCAATGGGAAGCCTTATCTACCACTGCTCCTTGGGTTAAGGAGTCCCTTATTAAACAATCAAAACGAAGAAGACACTTACTAGCTGAGTGATCTCAAAAAAATACTTGACTCTCTGAGCCTCCTTTCTCTCCTCTATAAAACTGAAGAGCCACACCTTGCACCACGATGTCATCAGAATTCAGTGATAGACACATGTGAAGTGACCTCTCAGCAGAGTGTTTGGGGCAGAGTAGCTGCTCCATTGTTCCATTTCGAACTTGCTCTGCGGCTCAGTTGCACAGATACTTAGAGGGTGATGCTCATAGGCAGACGCTTTGCCATTTGCTATGATGGCTTGACCCGCCCCTGGTGGCCCGGTGATGCCTGTGTCTCCCCTGCAGATGGTGCACAAAGCTGTGGTGGAGGTGGACGAGTCCGGGACCAGAGCGGCAGCAGCCATGGGGACAATCTTCACATTCAGGTCGGCCCAACTGAGCTCTCCGAGGATAGTGTTCAACAGGCCCTTTCTGATGTTCATTGTGGAGAACAATATCCTCTTCCTTGGCAAAGTGAACCGCCCCTGAGGTGGGGCTTCTCCTGAAATCTACAGGCCTCGGGGTGGGAGATGAAGGTGGGTGTGCTATGGCCCATCCGTATGCTGGTAGCTAGTGATTTATACTGGTTTAGTTGACTAATGAGGAATTACAGACAATAAAATTACTAAATAATGATTGCTTCCACCCACACAACCACAAGATACAGGTGCCTTGGGGAAACTTGGAGAACATTCAGTCTTGCCCTCACTATTTATCAAGATTGGCATTGAGATCCAGAGGGGCGGGTTGACTTGCTCAAGTTCACCAGCATGTTAGTGGAGGAGACAGGTCCAGAGTCCAGGCCCTTGAGGCCCAGCTCGGTGCCACAAAGCTCAGGAGGACGGTTCCACTGGGCGAGGGCCACCAGGAAGCACACGTCCAAGGCTCGTCCCCACCTATCAGCAACAACTGTCAGTTCATCCTGTATGAGAAAAATACTGGAATGGGAGTCTGAAATGGGGCACTCTTTTAGCCCTAACCTGCTGTGTGACATTGGGGCAACATTTTTTCTCTCTGGACCTCAGTTTCCCTTTGTATTCAGGAGCAGAGTCCTGCTGTGATCCAAGGACTTCTGAAATCATATACAAAGGCTGAGATGTGCCCTGTCACACATGGTTGATTTCAAAACACTCAAGAGCCATCCATCTTATAAGAAATATATCTGGATACCAGGGTGGACATGGCCCACTTGATGATTGATTATATTATCATCTTGTGGATATGGTTACAATCTTATGGGCCTGGAAGGGAGTGGAAGAAGGAAGCCTGTTGCAAAGAGTAGACTATGAGTTGCAAGTGTCAATAACTTTTTGAAATTTATGTTGGCATTAACAATAAAGCCTTTTGCAAACACCGGTTATGACTGTTTTTATGGAGTCACCTCTGCGAATGGGGTCATGAGAGCTTACCATGCTCCAGGCCAGGTGCCTGGCCCTTCAACTAGATGGACACATTTGCCCCTCATAGGACTCCTATGAAGAAAGGCACCACTGCTATCCCCGTTTCACAGGTGGGAAAGGCAAGGCTTGGAGTGGTTAGGCGGCTTACCCAGTCACACAGCTCCTAAGTGGTGCAGCAAGAATTCGGTGGGGGGAGTGTGGCCCAGAGCTATACACTCAGTCCTGTGCTGTGCTGTGGAGGAGAGTTGACCAGGAGCAGAAGGCTCATTTGGGGGCATCTCAAGCACCAGATTCCCACTGAGCCGGGTAAGTTCCCTCCCTCCCTCCACTAAGCAACCCGTGTTTCCTGCTCTGTGAAATGAAGAGGATCAGACACTCATAACCAAATGAATGGGTGAGTCCTTCACTGCTCCCAAGTCTAACCCACTGTGCGCCTGCCCACCCCATTCTGCATGCTCTCAGCATGCTTCCATGAAGCTGTGCCCCCTCACCTCAGATTCTAGAGTGTGGATTGTATCAGAGATGAGTGCCCACTAGAGGTAAAAAGGTCAGGACCCCAAGCCCTGTCCATCCCCAAAGTACTGAGGCCTCACATTCCATTACATTCCACTCCACTCTGAAGTGCACCTGCCCACCCCATTTTTGCACCTGTGATCTCACCCATCCCTTGACACTTGCACCATGCCAGACACTTTGCACCTGTGATCTCACCCATCCCTTGACCAACCAGCAAAGTCTACCATTGTTCCCATTTTATAGACAAGAGCATAAGTGCTTTCCTAGGGCCCCACAGCTGGTGACAGTGAGGGCCCAGCCCCAACAGCCCAGATGGCACATGTTCGGGCTAGCGGCAGGGCAAATGGCTGCAACAAGACACAGACCATTTTCTGCATTTGTGCTGTGGGCTCAGGGTGGCTCTTAAAGATGGGGCCCCTTCGTGAGGACATCCACTCCTATGTGCTTTCCCTTGCATCATGTCCTGTCTGTCTTGGCAAATGTTTTTCTCGAGGTTTACCCAACCAGTCCAAGGTCACAAGGAAGCCCTTCTGTGTGTCACACAAAAGACCAAGGTCCAGCACTGTCCAAACTTTACTCAGCAAACAGTCACAAAACAGCCCCTGTGTGAGGGGTCAGAGGTGAGCTCTCCGTGGCCTCTGCTACGTGTCACACGTGAAAGCACCATGCTGTGGGTCATTGCAGGATGTTTAACTCAATTGTTGCATGAGCCTGGGTGACAAAATGGCAGAGCAGCTCAGAGAGAGATGGACGGACAGAAAGCATGAACCTCTGAGGAGTCAGGTGTTTGTGGAGGAGGGGATACTGAGCTGGCTTTGGAGCATGAGAAACACTTCATCTAGCAGGTGTGGGAACATGAGTGAGACCTGGAGACGTGTGTGATGTGGTGAGCCGTGAAGTGTAGGGGACCCCACGGAACTCCTGTGTGGGCCTGCACAGGGCGTGTGGAGGAGACAAGAGGAGGAGGTGGCTGTGCCGGTGGTTCAGTAACAGAGATCCTAAGCTGGAGGCCGGTGTGTTGTCTGATCTCTTTCATCCTAATTGCAGCGTAGTTTGTGCATCCTCGCCACACTCCAAGTGTCCCCTGGAGCCTTTCTGTCTCTGACCCTCCTGCCTCCACATCAGTAGATACCTCCACACAGCCCTCCCAGGACACTCACCTCTATCCACAGCTGCTTCTCCAACACCCTCCAGGCCCTCCTGTGTGTGGAATGAGCTCACCCACAGGGTGACATCAGGCCACGATCTGCAGGGCTGGTTTCCCTGAGGCCTCTCCCCTTGGTTTGCAGGTGGCTGTCTTCTCCCTATGTCCTCACATGGTCCTCATCTGCAAATGCCTGGTTCTAACTTCTTCTCCCCTAATCTCCACCAGTCCTATAGGACTAGCCACCCCCCATGACCTCATCATAACTTAGTAACCTCTTTAACGGTTCTATCCCAAATACAGTCACACGTTGAAATACTGAGGTTTAGGGCCTCACTGTATGAATTTTGGGAGGATGTCAACTCAGCCAGCTCACTCTTATTATGGTTGCGCTAGCGCCATGCCTGGCTCCTAGTGGACACCCCAGGAACAGCCATCCACCCAGAATGATGACCGTGGTATCCCGGACACTCCTTGGCTCGTCACATCACACTCGTCTCCAGCCGGTCTCTCTGCCTGGAAGTCTCACACCTGTCACCACACCTGCTCTCTGAGGAGGTCCTTTTCATGCTTCAAAGCCAGCTTAGTGTCTTTCTTTCTGCAAAAAATGTTCCTGACCTCTCAGAAGTTTATTCTCTCTCTCTCTCGTCAGGCTTTCTTTCTTTCCATCGGTCTTTCTCTGAGCTGTTCCACCATTTTGTGTACCCAGGAACCTGTGACAATCGAATTAAACAGGCTGCAAAAAAGAAAGAGAAGAAAAATAAATGGAATTAAACAGCCTTCAATAACCCCAGCTCGGTGCTTCGATGCTTGAATGACTGGTAGCAGAGGCCACACTCAATCCTCCTCTGCCCTTTGAGTTTTTGCAGCTCTTGACAAGACCATTTATATTCTTAGAAAGCCCACCTTTATTTCCCTCTCTAGCCACATGGATTCTAAGACCTCCTGTTGTGAACTGTAATCAGAATGCAGAGAAGTAATACAAGGTTAGGGCCCAGAACTCCTCCTTCCTCTCCCTGCAGAGACCCAGTTTTTTTTTAAATAAATGATCTTGGTCTTCAGGGGAAGAACTTCCCACCACACTAAGCAGCCATCTCCAGCCTACCCCTGGCTGTGGGGCTTACTTAGCTCATCCATCCAAAGGCTATTTCCCACGTGCTTAGTAGGCATCCGGGCACGGAGCTAGTGCAAGCATAATGATAAGAGTGAGCCTGGCAGACACTGCTCCCCCCAATAACCAGGTAACAAATAAACAGAACCACAAACTGTGATGGCAACAATTCATCTGTCTACAGATATTCACTGACCGTCCACTGCGTGCCTGGCACTGTTCCAAGTGCTAAAGAGAAACAAAGAAAACAAAAATCTCTGCCCTTGAAGAGGAGACATTATAATGTGACAACATAACAATGAAAAGGAATGAAGAACAAAACAGAAAAGTCAAATAGATTGCATGTCTCTTGATGACAAGTGCTGCGGAACGAGGCTGTCATCTGGATGGAGCACAGAAAGTGGAATATGATGACATGTCAGCCAAGAGACCTGGGAGACACCACCTTGGCCGAGGGATCAAGGTTGGCATTGCCAGCTGTGAGTAGTGCTGACATCTTGCTGTCTTCTATATGGTGTCATGAGCTGGGTGCATCCTCTCGGCGGGATCTTCCCCAAATCCAGAACTTTAGTTTAATCATGAGAAAACAACAGCCAATCCCAGTTTCAGGGACATTTGGCAAAAGACCCCGCCAGTCCTACTTAAAAGTGTCAAGGTTGGCCAGGCACAGTGGCTTACCCGTGTAATCCCAGCACTTTGGGAGGCCGAAGCTGGTGGATCACGAAGTCAAGTGATCGAGACCATCCTGCACCACATAATGAAACCCTGTCTCTACTAAAAATACAAATATTAACCTGGTGAGTTGGCAGGTGCCCTGTAATTCCAGCTACTCAGGAGGCTGAGGCAGGAGAATTGCTTGAACCCGGGAGATGGAGTTTGCAGTCACCTGAGATAGTGTCACTGCTCTCCATCCTGGGTGACAGAGCAAGACTCCGTCTCAAAAAAAAAGTGTTGAGGTCACGAAAGGCAAGGACCCTGGGACATGGTGACTGGCCAAGAAATCTAAGCAGACACAGTGACTAAATGCTATGTAGACTCCTGAGACAGAAGAGGACATCAGTGGGAGAGCTGGTGACCCCCAAGGAAGTCCAGGCTGTCCCAATGTCTACTTCCTAGTTCTGAGGTATGTGCCATGGTCACATGAGAGGTCCATGTTTACATTAGGGGAAGCAGGGAGAGTGTATATCGGACCTCTCAGAATTGCTTTTGTAACTTTTCTGTACATCCAAACTCTTTTAAAATAGTTGTTTTTTAAGAAAATGTTTCAAAAAGAAAAATAACCAAGTAGGGGAGGGCACTTGGGTGGGGTTGAGAGTTGCAAAGGTAAAGGCAGGAGACCAGTTCAGGAAGAGAACAGGGCACTAAGGGAGACAATCGGGAGGACCTTCTGCAGCCAGGGCTCTGAGGGTCTCTCTGGGGTGGTGCCATTGAAACAGAGTCCTGAGAGACAAGCAGGAGCAGACACCATGAGTCTCTAAAGTGGGAAAAGGGGCATGTAAGGATAAGTGACATCTGTCCAGCATCAGCAACCACTCAAACATCCAGGTGTCTGAGGTGGGTCCAGAAGCTCCTGTGCATCTGCTTTCCAAGATCTATTCTATACTATTCTATTCCATTTTATTCTATTCTATTCTATTCTTTCTATTTGACTCTACCCCATTCAATTCCATTCCATTTCACTCCACTCCACTCCAGCTCACTCCACTCCATTCCACTCCTCCACTCCACTTCATTCCATTCTACTCCACTGCATTCCACTCCAGTCCACTCCACTCCAGTCCACTCCACTCCACTCCAGTCCATTGTATTCCATTCCACTCCACTTCTTCACTCCACTTCACTCTGCTCTAGTCCATTTCATTCCACTCCAGTCCACTCCATTCAATTCTATTCTATTCTATTATACTCTATTCTATTCCATTCCATTCCACTCCACTCCACTCTATTCCACTCCACTCCACTTCACTCCATTCCATTCTGTTATGTTCCACTCCTTCACTCCATTTCAGCCCCTCCACTCCACCCCTCCACTCCACTCCACTTTACTCCATTCCATCCCATTCCACTGCAATCCACTCCACCCCACTCCACTCCAATCCACACCTCTATTCTATTCTATTTATTCCACTGGCCTTAACCCCACTACATTCCACTCCTCTCCACTCCATTCCAGTAATTCCACTCCACTCCATTGCATTCCAGTCCACTTCACTCCACTCCACTGCACTCCACTCAAAGCCTCTATTCTATTCTATTCTATTCTATTCTATTCTATTCTATTCTATTCTATTCTATTCTATTTTTTCTATTCTATTCTATTCTATTCTATTCTATTCTATTCTATTCTATTCTATTCTATTCTATTCTATTCTATTCTATTCTATTCTATTTTTTCTATTCTATTCTATTCTATTCTATTGTATTCTATTCTATTCTATTCTATTCTATTCTATTCTATTCTATTCTATTCTCTCCTTCTCCCTCTCTCTCTCTTTTCCCTCAAGAAGCAGATGTTTCATTTGTGTCTTTTCCTTTATGCAATGGGAAGCCTTATCTACCACTGCTCCTTGGGTTAAGGAGTCCTTTATTAAACAATCAAAACGAAGAAGACACTTACTAGCTGAGTGATCTCAAAAAAATACTTGACTCTCTGAGCCTCCTTTCTCTCCTCTATAAAACTGAAGAGCCACACCTTGCCCCACAATGTCATGAGAATTCAGTGATAGACACATGTGAAGTGACCTCCCAGCAGAGTGCTTGGGGCAGAGTAGCTTCTCCTTTGTTCCATTTCGAACTTGCTCTGCGGCTCAGTTGCACAGATACTTAGAGGGTGATGCTCATAGGCAGACGCTTTGTCATTTGCTATGATGGCTTGACCCGCCCCTGGTGGCCCGGTGATGCCTGTGTCTCCCCTGCAGATGGTGTACAAAGCTGTGGTGGAGGTGGACGAGTCCGGGACCAGAGCGGCAGCAGCCATGGGGACAATCTTCACATTCAGGTCGGCCCAACTGAGCTCTCCGAGGATAGTGTTCAACAGGCCCTTTCTGATGTTCATTGTGGAGAACAATATCCTCTTCCTTGGCAAAGTGAACCGCCCCTGAGGTGGGGCTTCTCCTGAAATCTACAGGCCTCGGGGTGGGAGATGAAGGTGGGTGTGCTATGGCCCATCCGTATGCTGGTAGCTAGTGATTTATACTGGTTTAGTTGACTAATGAGGAATTACAGACAATAAAATTACTAAATAATGATTGCTTCCGCCCACACAACCACAAGATACAGGTGCCTTGGGGAAACTTGGAGAACATTCAGTCTTGCCCTCACTATTTATCAAGATTGGCATTGAGATCCAGAGGGGCGGGTTGACTTGCTCAAGTTCACCAGCATGTTAGTGGAGGAGACAGGTCCAGAGTCCAGGCCCTTGAGGCCCAGCTCAGTGCCACAAAGCTCAGGAGGACGGTTCCAATGGGCGAGGGCCACCAGGAAGCACATGTCCAAGGCTTGTCCCCACCTATCAGCAACAACTGTCAGTTCATCCTGTATGAGAAAAATACTGGAATGGGAGTCTGAAATGGGGTACTCTTTTGGCCCTAACCTGCTGTGTGACGTTGGGGCAACATTTTTTCTCTCTGGACCTCAGTTTCCCTCTGTATTCAGGAGCAGAGTTTTGCTGTGATCCAAGGACTTCTGAAATCATATACAAAGGCTGAGGTGCGCCCTGTCACACATGGTTGATTTCAAAACACTCAAGAGCCATCCATCTTATAAGAAATATATCTGGATATCAGGGTGGACATGGCCCATTTGATGATTGATTATATTATCATCTTGTGGATATGGTTACAATCTTATGGGCCTGGAAGGGAGTGGAAGAAGGAAGCCTGTTGCAAAGAGTAGACTATGAGTTGCAAGTGTCAATAACTTTTTGAAATTTATGTTGGCATTAACAATAAAGCCTTTTGCAAACACCGGTTATGACTGTTTTTATGGAGTCACCTCTGCGAATGGGGTCATGAGAGCTTACCATGCTCCAGGCCAGGTGCCTGGCCCTTCAACTAGATGGACACATTTGCCCCTCATAGGACTCCTATGAAGAAAGGCACCACTGCTATCCCCATTTCACAGGTGGGAAAGGCAAGGCTTGGAGTGGTTAGGCGGCTTACCCAGTCACACAGCTCCTAAGTGGTGCAGCAAGAATTCGGTGGGGGGAGTGTGGCCCAGAGCTATACACTCAGTCCTGTGCTGTGCTGTGGAGGAGAGTTGACCAGGAGCAGAAGGCTCATTTGGGGGCATCTCAAGCACCAGATTCCCACTGAGCCAGGTAAGTTTCCTCCCTCCCTCCACTAAGCAACCCGTGTTTCCTGCTCTGTGAAATGAAGAGGATCAGACACTCATAACCAAATGAATGGGTGAGTCCTTCACTGCTCCCAAGTCTAACCCATTGTGCGCCTGCCCACCCCATTCTGCATGCTCTCAGCATGATTCCATGAAGCTGTGCCCCCTCACCTCAGATTCTAGAGTGTGGATTGTATCAGAGATGAGTGCCCACTAGAGGTAAAAAGGTCAGGACCCCAAGCCCTGTCCATCCCCAAAGTACTGAGGCCTCACATTCCATTACATTCCACTCCACTCTGAAGTGCACCTGCCCACCCCATTTTTTTAAGAAAATATTTCAAAAAGAAACACAGCTCATGCCAGACACTTTGCACCTGTGATCTCACCCATCCCTTGACCAACCAGCAAAGTCTACCGTTGTTCCCATTTTATAGACAAGAGCATAAGTGCTTTCCTAGGGTCCCACAGCTGGTGACAGTGAGGGCCCAGCCCCAACAGCCCAGATGGCACATGTACGGGCTAGCGGCAGGGCAAATGGCTGCAACAAGACACAGACCATTTTCTGCATGTGTGCTGTGGGCTCAGGGTGGCTCTTAAGGATGGGGCCCCTTTGTGAGGACATCCACTCCTAGGTGCTTTCCCTTGCATCATGTCCTGTCTGTCCTGGCAAATGTTTTTCTCGAGGTTTACCCAACCAGTCCAAGGTCACAAGGAAGCCCTTCTGTGTGTCACACAAAAGACCAAGGTCCAGCACTGTCCAAACTTTACTCAGCAAACAGTCACAAAACAGCCCCTGTGTGAGGGGTCAGAGGTGAGCTCTCCGTGGCCTCTGCTACGTGTCACACGTGAAAGCACCATGCTGTGGGTCATTGCAGGATGTTTAACTCAATTGTTGCATGAGCCTGGGTGACAAAATGGCAGAGCAGCTCAGAGAGAGATGGACGGACAGAAAGCATGAACCTCTGAGGAGTCAGGTGTTTGTGGAGGAGGGGACACTGAGCTGGCTTTGGAGCATGAGAAACACTTCATCTAGCAGGTGTGGGAACATGAGTGAGACCTGGAGACGTGTGTGATGTGGTGAGCCGTGAAGTGTAGGGGACCCCACGGAACTCCTGTGTGGGCCTGCACAGGGCGTGTGGAGGAGACAAGAGGAGGAGGTGGCTGTGCCGGTGGTTCAGTAACAGAGATCCTAAGCCGGAGGCCGGTGTGTTGTCTGATCTCTTTCATCCTAATTGCAGCGTAGTTTGTGCATCCTCGCCACACTCCAAGTGTCCCCTGGAGCGTTTCTGTCTCTGACCCTCCTGCCTCCACATCAGTAGATACCTCCACACAGCCCTCCCAGGACACTCACCTCTATCCACAGCTGCTTCTCCAACACCCTCCAGGCCCTCCTGTGTGTGGAATGAGCTCACCCACAGGGTGACATCAGGCCACGATCTGCAGGGCTGGTTTCCCTGAGGCCTCTCCCCTTGGTTTGCAGGTGGCTGTCTTCTCCCTATGTCCTCACATGGTCCTCATCTGCAAATGCCTGGTTTTAACTTCTTCTCCCCTAATCTCCACCAGTCCTATAGGACTAGCCACCCCCCATGACCTCATCATAACTTAGTAACCTCTTTAAAGGTTCTATCCCAAATACAGTCACACGTTGAAATACTGAGGTTTAGGGTCTCACTGTATGAATTTTGGGAGGATGTCAACTCAGCCAGCTCACTCTTATTATGGTTGCGCTAGCGCCATGCCTGGCTCCTAGTGGACACCCCAGGAACAGCCATCCAGCCAGACTGATGACTGTGGCATCCCGGACACTCCATGGCTCATCACATCACACTCGTCTCCAGCCGGTCTCTCTGCCTGGAAGTCTCACACCTGTCACCACACCTGCTCTCTGAGGAGGTCCTTTTCATGCTTCAAAGCCAGCTTAGTGTCTTTCTTTCTGCAAAAAATGTTCCTGACCTCTCAGAAGTTTATTCTCTCTCTCTCTCGTCAGGCTTTCTTTCTTTCTGTCGGTCTTTCTCTGAGCTGTTCCACCATTTTGTGTACCCAGGAACCTGTGACAATCGAATTAAACAGGCTGCAAAAAAGAAAGAGAAGAAAAACAAATGGAGTTAAACAGCCTTCAATGACCCCAGCTCGGCGCTTCGATGCTTGAATGACTTGTAGCAGAGGCCACACTCAATCCTCCTCTGCCCTTTGAGTTTTTGCAGCTCTTGACAAGACCATTTATGTTCTTAGAAAGCCCACCTTTATTTTCCTCTCTAGCCACATGGATTCGAAGACCTCCTGTTGTGAGCTGTAATCAGAATGCAGAGAAGTAATACAAGGTTAGGACCCAGAACTCCTCCTTCCTCTCCCTGCAAAGACCCAGATTTTTTTTTTTAAATGATCTTGGTCTTCAGGGGAAGAACTTCCCACCACACTAAGCAGCCATCTCCAGCCTACCCCTGGGTGTGGGGCTTACTTAGCTCATCCATCCAAAGGCTATTTCCCACGTACTTAGTAGGCATCCGGGCACGGAGCTAGTGCAAGCATAATGATAAGAGTGAGCCTGGCAGACACTGCTCCCCCAATAACCAGGTAACAAATAAACAGAACCACAAACTGTGATGGCAACAATTCATCTGTCTACAGATATTCGCTGACTGTCCACTGCGTGCCTGGCACTGTTCCAAGTGCTAAAGAGAAACAAAGAAAACAAAAATCCCTGCCCTTGAAGAGGAGACATTATAATGTGACAACATAACAATGAAAAGGAATGAAGAACAAAACAGAAAAGTCAAATAGATTGCATGTCTCTTGATGACAAGTGCTGCGGAACGAGGCTGTCATCTGGATGGAGCACAGAAAGTGGAATATGGTGACATGTCAGCCAAGAGACCTGGGAGACACCACCTTGGCCGAGGGATCAAGGTTGGCACTGCCAACTGTGAGTAGTGCTGACATCTTGCTGTCTTCTATATGGTGTCATGAGCTGGGTGCATCCTCTCGGCGGGATCTTCCCCAAATCCAGAACTTTAGTTTAATCATGAGAAAACAACAGCCAATCCCAGTTTCAGGGACATTTGGCAAAAGACCCCGCCAGTCCTACTTAAAAGTGTTGAGGTCAGCTGGGCACAGTGGCTCAACTCTGTAATCCCAGCACTTTGGGAGGTCAAAGCTGGTGGATCACGAGGCCAAGAGATCGAGACCATCCTGCGCAACATGATGAAAGCCTGTCTCTACTAATAATACAAAAATTAGGCACATGATCAGTTGCTGCTACACTGGAAAAATGGCGGAGCAAGAGCAAACAAAAATCCCTTTGGTTCCAGAAAATCTCCTGAAAAAGAGGAAGGCTTATTCAGCCTTCAAAGCCACTCAGGCAAAGCAGGCATTTTTGGCAAAGAAGGAACAGAGGAAAGGAAAAGCGCCCGGGTCTAAGTGACTAGAATCATTCCTACATGATTCCTGGCGGCAGACACGTGACAAGGTGCCTGTCAGACGACTGGAAGTGAAGCCTCACGGCTTGAAATTGCCAGATAAACATTCCTTGGCCTTTGCCGTATGTATCAAAAGGATTGATGGCATGAATTTACTGGTGCAGAGACGCATTGCAATACTTTGCCTAAGGAAAATTTTTAGTGGTGTCTTTGTAAAAGTCACCCCCCAGAACCTAAAAATGCTGTGTAGAGTGGAACCGTATGTGACCTGAGGATTTCCAAACCTGAAGTCTGTCCGGGAACTCATTTTGAAATGTGGACAAGCCAGGGTCAAGAATAAGACCATATATCTAACAGACAGCACAGCGATTGAGGAGCATCTGGAGGAGTTTGGTGTCATTTGCTTGGAAGACCTTTCATGAAATTGCCTTCCTGGGGAAGCATTTTCAGGAGATCTCATGATTCTTGCACCCTTTCCACCTCTCAGTGGCCCATCATGCTACCAAAGATAGAGTGGGCTTCCTCAGAGAGATGGGCACACCTGGCTCTCAGGATGAATGCATCCGTCAGCTCATCCGCCAGCTGAACTAGACCCAGGTGAGGCAGAGCTGAAAACTGCCCTTGGACTGACTGTGGATGGGCCATGCCTTGCCACTTCCAAGGTTCTTTTTGCATTTACTAGTTTTTAAGAGTAACCTTGAGATTGGAAGGAAAGAGCAGGCTGATACAAGTAGACGGAGACCTGCTGGGAGCAATGAATGCCTGATTAGGACATGGGCCTATGCATAGCTTAGCAGTCATAGGCTTAAAAATGTCAAGTGAATAAGAACTGTATTGCTGCTGTCATTTAGATGGAAATGAGGAAAGAATATTAACTGATTTCAAAAAGGACTTGAAGATGTGAAATCATCTATTTTGCTGAAGAAATTTTAACTCTTTTTGAAATTACTTGTTTTTCCTGTTATTACTCTAGGTGCCAAACTGCAAGAAATTTTTATCAATTAAGTGGAAAAAAAAATTAGCCAGCGAGTTGGCGGGCACCCTCTAGTCCCAACTACTCAGGAGGCTGAGGCAGGAGAATTGCTTGAATCAGAGAGGCAGAGGTTACAGTGAGCCGAGACAGCGTCACTGTTCTTCATCCTGGGTGACAGAGCAAGACTCAGTCTCAAAAAAAAAAAAATGTCGAGATCATAAAAGGCAAGGAAACCCTGGGAAATGGTGCCTGGCCAGAGGAACCTAAGCAGACATGGCGACTAAATGCCACGTAGACTCCTGGGACAGAAGAGGACATCAGTGGGAGAGCTGGTGACCCCCAAGGAAGTCCAGCCTGTCCCAATGTCTACTTCCTAGTTCTGAGGAACGTGCCATGGTCACGTGAGAGGTCCACATTTACGTTAGGGGAAGCTGGGAGAGTGTATATCGGACCTCTCAGAACTGCTTTTGTAACTTTTCTGTACATCCAAACTGTTTTAAAATAGTTTTTTTTTATTTTTTTGAAAATGTTTCAAAAAGAAAAATAACCAAGTAGGGGAGGGCTCTTGGGTGGGGTTGGGAGTTGCAAAGGTAAAGGCAGGAGACCAGTTCAGGAAGAGAACAGGTCACTAAGAGAGATGATCGGGAGGACCTTCTGCAGCCAGGGCTCTGAGGGTCTCTCTGGGGTGGTGCCATTGAAGCTGAGTTTTGAGGGACAGGCAGGAGTTGATACCGTGAGTCTCAAAAGTGGGTAAAGGGGTGTGCACAAAATTGAGAGAAGGTGACTGTGGCAGCATCTGGGGAGGGAAGGAGAGGATAGGGTGGGAGGGAAGGAGAGGGGAGGGTTGGAGGCCCATCCCTTCATTGGCCATGAGAACACTGCAGGGGGTGTGGAGGTGGGAGTAATAGTAATAATAACAGGCAGGACTTGGAGGCCACGTCCTGTGTGTCTGGCACTTGCCTACGCCCTGTGTGCCCTCTGAGTTAACGCAGAGGTGAACCGAGAGGCACCTGGGGCAGGGGCTGGGGGAAAGGAAGCAGGTGACACCTCCGGTTCCCTCCAGCTTCTTCAGAGCAGATCCACAGGACGGACCCTTCTCTGCCACCCTTCTCCAAGACCACCTTGGTGGGAGTGAGGGGTTCTAAGGTGACAACAGACACAGGAGCCACAAACACAAGACAGACACTCTGACTCCCGGGAGAACCTAGTATGGGCATCCATACGCCCTTCCTGTTGGTGACTCTATGCAGACATGCAGAGTGCAGATAACTGGCTGCTCCCACACACATCTGCATTGGTACTCATACACCTGTGCACACACGTGAGCACACACGCACACACACAGCCTCCTGCAGCACTGTGGCTTCCGGTGGGTAACACAGCTACCACCTTTGATTGCACTGAGCTGAGCACCCATTGTCTGCTGGGGTGGGGAGAGGTCAGGCACTTTCCCTGCGTGACCCCGTTTCAGCCTCTCAGTGCCCCACGGAGGTGGTCCCTGTTGCCCCCACTGGACAGAGGAAGAACCTAAGAGTTAGAACCCCCAGCATGGTGTCTCCACTAAATAGAAGCCCCTGTTTCTCTCCCAGCCTCTCCCAGAGGGGCTGCTCTGAAGCATGTGGGTTTGATCAGGATAATCAAGGTAAATGATCCTCATCTTGATCCATCACAAATGTTAGGGTACAAGGAGAGTGGGTGGAGTCTCTGCTGCCTGGGTCCCATCCTAAGCTGGGTGACTGCAAGCAGACATACACATGTCCACCTCTCAGGCCACGCAGGGAGAACAAGCATCATTCGATCAGTGTTACAGGGTTGTTGAAGGCTCAGAGGAAACCAGGCGACGAGTGTTTCTCAAACTCTGATTAACGTCACTTGAGGAGCTTGTTAAAAATATGTACTCCTGGACTTGATCAGGTAAATCAGAATATTTGAGGCAGAGCTTTTAAGCTACTCCTTGGTATTCAAATGCACACGGGTTTTTGATGTTTCACCACCTATAGCACAAGAGAGGGCAGGACTGTCCTGTTCAGTGCACTGTGCGCCAGACACTCAGACCCCAGGAACTCCCTTACCGCCCCTGCTCCCTGCAGTGCCACCCACCCAGCTTTCATGCCTGAGGGTGGGCCTCAGACTCCCCCTAGAATCGGCCCAGAGGCTCCTTGCTATGTAGGCATCGTTTCCTCCAGTCACTGCAGAGCACTCACCAGGTAACAAACACACACACCCAGGCAAGTTCCTCATGAGTGTCCCCACGTTGATATCCCAGACTCTACAAGTCGTCAGCTGCTGCCTAGGACTCTCTAAGTCCTTGAGCTTGGAACCTCTACCACACACAAGCACTGGGCACGCCCCGCAGGCAGGGAAGTGCTGATCACATACACCCAGTGACGTGGGAATCCCAGATAATGAATAACTTTTTAGTACCCATGCCCCGTGAATTTTGAGATATTTTTGTTTGCTAAATCTGACAATTCTACGTGTAGGGAACAGGGATGATTGAGAAGCAGCTGCTCTAATGGCCAGAAGCCAATAACCTTCCCTGCAGAGATGCGGGAAGTCCTGGGGAAAGCAGGAAAGGCCAGGCACTGCCCTGGCAGCGGGAGTGGGGCTTGGGTCAATGGAGGGTCAGTGCCATGAGAAAGGACCCTGGGTGGCTTCCTGCTACATAATGTGAGGACCGGAAGCATAAGAAAGGACTGACTTATCCACCGTTGCATCAAACTGAAGCCTGAGACAGAACATTCTGTGAGGTCGCCTTGTTCACTGCAGAGGAGCTGACTCACACGGTTTTGTCAAGGAAGTTGCAGTCTGTGCCAGGAGTAGCCAGCCCAGCAGTAGCAAAGAGGGTTTTCTACCGCAGGTTTTCCCAGAGCTCCTCTCCTTCTCTCCCCTGGCTGAAGGAGGGCCCTGCAGGGAGACTCCCCCTCTAGGGAACTTTGCTCCTGGGTGTCCCAGCTGCAGAGATTGGTGGGGGCAGTCCAGAAAGGGGGTCTTCTGGACCAGGGGAAGATAAGGTTGGGCCTCAGGGCACTGGGAGGACAGTGGGGGTGCTTCAAACAGGCCAGTGACCTGAAGGACTCATATTCTTAAGGATATCCTGGTGGCCAAGTAGAAAACAGCCTGGTAGGGTGAGGGCAGTTCAGTGACTCAGAGGTCACTGAAGGCGCAGCCAGGCAGGTTGGGATTCATATGGGCAGCAGAGGTGGGCAGTAGGGACGTAGACTGGGAGACCCTGTCTCATGCTGTGGGCCCCGAGGGGAGGTGGAGGCTGAGCTGGGAGAAGAAGCACCACCCACTCACTTCCTGCTTGCAGAGTGACTCTGAGGAGCAAAAAAGCAAGTGAGGAAGTCAAGGGGGTTATTTGGGGGCAATGCTCCGTGTGAGGGTTGCTAAGGACAGGTGCCAAGGAGGAACCTGCGTCAAAATCCCAGGTCCAAATATTAGTTACTAGAGCCCTCTGATAAAGACAGAGCCACAGGTAAAATGCGGCAGGCACGCCCCCTTGACCCTTAAAATCAGAAGCCTCTCTGTGCCCTGGTGAGGAGAGAAGCATGATCGATCGTCCACACTGCCAGGACGAAAAGCATATTATTTCTGATGCAAAACTCAGGCTCCTTCCAGGGCTGGCACAGAGGACTGCCACAGGAGTCAGAAGGCCTCCACCTTCCCCGGCTGGGCAACCTCAGAGGATGTCTCCTTATCTCTGGAGTCACTATGTCTCCGCAGCCTGGCTGGGCACAGGTCACCTGGAAGTGGAGCTGTGTTTGCAGGGAAGGTACGAGGGTGGACGTCAAAGCCAGCCTGCCTGGTTCCAAATCCCGTCTCAGCTTGGCACTTACCCGCAGTGGTGGTGTGGTCTTGGGAATGAGCTTTGCCTCTCTGTACTTTCGTTTCCTCATACCTAAAATAGAGGGAGTAATGGGACCGGCTCAGTGGATATTTGTAGGGATTCCATGTGCTGTTATGCATAAGGAGCAGAGCAGCTAAGATAACCACCATCTATGTCACTGAGTCTCTGGGGGTGATGGAAGGAGACACAGATTTGCTGAAGTACAATGAAGGCGGGGGAAGGCAGTAAGGCATCAGCCATGTGGCACACATTGTATTTTGAGACTAACTGGTTTTCTTACATCATCCTCAAATTTTTTTCCTTGTCTGCTTCCCATGGTTCCCGAGAGTCAAGAGGATGGGAGCTGTGGAATGTGTTAATCATCTACTGCTGTATATCAATCGACCATCTCACGGAATTCCTGAGGGTCAGGACATATCCTCAGGATAATTCTTTCCTCAGGAGATAGAGAGGAAAGAGAGAGACAGAGAGAGTGAGGAAGAGAGAGCGGGACAGAGAGAGAACCCATCAGGAGGGGCTGAGCTGGGTGGTCCCAGCTTCAGGTATCTCATGAGTTTGCTGTCAAGCTATTGGTCAAGGGCAATCCCAGAAGGCTCACTCATGAGGCCATAGCAGAAATTCTCAATTCCTCGCCATGTGGACCATTCACAGGGCTGCTCGAATGTGACTTAGAGAGAGAGAGAGCGAGCAGAGGTTTGTTTGTTTAACATCTTGGGATCAAGAGAGGCTATAGAGAGAAAGCACAAAAGAGAGAGAGAGGAAAGAGAAAGACAGAGAGTGAGGGAGACAGAGGGGGACACACAGAGAGAACCCATGGGTAGAAGCAGCAGTCTTTTTATAACTCAATCTCAGAAATGATACCCCGCCCCTTCTGCCTTAGAAGGAAGTCACTAAGTTCAGTCCAATGTGAGGGGAGGTAATTAAGCTCTATCTCTTCTCTGAAGTGGTATCAGACATTTGTGGACACTCTGTAAAATGACCAGAGTGTTAGAACCTCAGAATCCAGCAAAGTGATTGCCCTCATAGTAGATTATAAATGTTTTTAAAAATAGATGGACTAGCTGAATGAATAAATGAATGAGAGAGTGAGCAGAATATTTCTGTGTCATTTCACGCACAGGAAAGGCACTGAGGCTCAGAGCCGTTAGGACATGTGTGAGGTTGTCCAGGCAGTAAGGGGTGGGGTTGGGCTGGTTTGCCAGAATTCTGAGATGCAGTGTGCAGCCTGCAGCCGTTCTGAAATGGAAGCCGGGGATGGCAAGCTACAGCAGCCACTCCCTCCCCTCCCCCAGGAGAACAGACACACTGAACAGAGTCAGGAGTTCTCTCACCAAACCCTTTGCAGGCATCTCCCAATCCACACAGGGACAGCCGAGGGTCTGGCTGTGCTGAAGGCAATTTGCAAATCCTGCCTCACATCTGCAGCCATTATCTCCCCCAATAGCCACCAAATCAGCACCAACCCAGCCGGAGTGCAGCATGGGTGTTTGGCAAAAACAGGCTATTTTTTTTTTTTTGAGATGGCGTTTCGCTCTTGTTGCCCAGGCTGCAGTGGCAGTGGTGCGATCTCGACTCACCACAATCTCCGCCTCCTGGGTTCAAGCGATTCTCCTGCCTCAGCCTCCTGAGTAGCTGGGATTACAGGTGCACACCACCATGGCTAATTTTTGTATTTTTGTAGAGATGGGGTTTCTCCATATTGGTCAGGCTGATCTTGAACTCCTGATCTCAGGTGATCCGCCCACCTTGCCATCCCAAAGTTCTGGGATTACAGGCGTGTGCCACTGTGCCTGATGACTCCATCCTTTTCTGACAGCGACCAGAGTCCTCTGTCTGTCACAGAGAAGGCTGGGCCTTCTTAGGGTTCTTTAGAACTGCTGATGTCGGTCAGTATCTATTTATTCTTCCTAATAATTCTTTGTTGTTTTTTTTTTTTGAGATGGCGTTTCGCTCTTGTTGCCCAGGCTGCAGTGGCAGTGGTGCGATCTCGACTCACCACAATCTCTGCCTCCTGGGTTCAAGCGATTCTCCTGCCTCAGCCTCCCAAATATCTGGGATTACAGGTGCCCACCACCACACCTGGCTAATTTTTGTGTTTTTAGTAGAGACAAGTTTTCGCCATGTTGGCCAGGCTGGTCTTAAACTCTTGACCTCACATAATCCACCTGCCTTGGCCTTTCAAAGTGCTAGGATTACAGGCGTGAGCCACTGAGGTCAGCCTCCTAAGAATTCTTAAATCAGCTACAGTTGACAAAAGAAGTTCAGAGAGATAAAGTAATTGGCCTAAAGTCACCCAGCGAGTAGATGTGGCAGAGGCATGGTACAAAAGAAGCCCTGTGGGTGATGCCCTTCGGATGGTCCCTGCCTCTCTGGAAAGCAGCAGCCCTGGTTTCTCTCTGCCTCACCTTCCCAGGCAGGCAGGCAGGCTTGTGTTTGGGCTCCTGCTGGTCCCTCCAGGTAGGCCCCAGAAGCACTCTCTTCCCCATCTGCAGTCCCAGACCATGTATGGACACTACTCATTTCCTAGGGTGTTCCTTACCCCATGCACCAGGTCAGTATTTCAGAATCCAGAGTGGCACCACAAAGGCAATAGCTGTGAAAACTACAAGGAGCATCACAGTGACCTGCAGAATCCCAGGGTCTGACAGACTCTGCATGTACCAAGGTGACTCCAATCCAGGGACAGTGAAAGTCATTATTCCTTGGACCGAGCATCTGGTTGTCCCAGGTCCCTGGCTGAGCATTCAATGTGAATCTTTTGTCTCTTTGCCTTTAAGAGAGGCACTACGGCCACCCTCATGCAGGCCCCTAAGGCCAGTGCCACCCACTGCCTCTGCTCTCTCCACTCCTGCATTCCACCAGATTCCTTGACCTTCAGAAATAGTCTCCTGGAGGCCAGGCATGATGGCTCATGCCTGTAATCCCAGCACTTTGGGAGGCTGAGGCAGGCAGATCACCTGAGGTCAAAAGTTTGAGACCAGCCTGGCCAATATGGTGAAACCTTGTCTCTACAAAAAATACAAAAATTAATCGGGCATGGTGGCGGTTGCCTGTAATCCCAGCTACTCAGGAAGCGGAGGCAGGAGAAACGCTTGAACCTCGGAGGCAGAGATTGTAGCGAACCGATTTCATGCCACTGCACTCCAGCCTGGGCAGCAGAGTGAGACTCCATCTCAAAAAAAAAGGATAAAGAAAAGAATAGTCCCCTGGAGACCCTGGCCCTGACCTCCCCCTCAAGCCGGAGTGAACTTTTGTCTCACCATGGGCTGACCCTCTGGGTCCATTTTAAGTCAGAAGAACATGTCCATCCACAGTCAAAGGAGAGGTGCGGACAAAGCCCGCATTCAGCTGAGACCTCAATCAGTAAAGAAATCTTTCCCTGCACAGATCTGCAGACAACCAAGCCTTAAAAAGGCATCGACCCTAAAGCCTGTGAAATTGTCACTTTCTCTCCTATGTCCAAGCATGGAAATGTTTTTCTTCATTTTTTAAAAAAGAGCAGGGAGCGGCGGTGAGAGTCTGAATTTGGCATTGGATTGGTCTCCCCTAAGATCCAACAGCTCCAGCATTTAGCAGCCGGGGGTACATGGGCAAATCACATGATTGGACATTGGAAGCTTTTTCCTCCTTTCTCACTCCTCTTCCTGGAGGTTGACACAGACCAAAGTTTGCTAAGAAAACTTAGGATAAAAGAAGGGGAAGAGACCAGGTGATGTGGCTCACGCCTGTAGTCCCAGCACTTTGGGAGGCCAAGGTGGGTGGATCGATTGAGCCCAGATGTTCAAGACCAGCCTGGGCAACGTGGTGAAACCATGTCTCTGCAAAAAATTACAAAAATTAGCTGGGCATGGTGTTGTGCACCTGTAATCCTGACTACTCAGGAGGCTGAAGTGGGAGGATCACTTGAGCCCAGGTTGTCGAAGCTGCAAATAAGGTGAGATTGCACTGCTGCACTCCAGTTTGGGCTACAGAGTGAGACTGTGTCTCAAAAAAAAAAAAAAAAAAAAAGAGAGAGACAGTTTTTTTTCAATGTTATCAGAGATGGGAGCTATACAAAGAGATGAGGTTGGATGGAGGTGAAGACTAGTCAGCTCAGCTGTAAAGAAAATGGTGCTCTTCTGAGGCTGGAGAACTTGAGAACACCCAGGTAATGTCCTGAGGCAGGATGACCAGTCGTCCCCGATGTCCACTCTCTCTGTCTCTCATGGTAATGGAACTCCGAGTTCTTAGCTGGGAGGTGGCTCCCTAGCATCTTGGCTGCACCTCACAGTCTCCTCTGTTGCTAGGTGTGGCCATGGAGCAAACCTCTAGCCAACAGAACACAAGCGGAAATGACAGGTGATGTTTAAGGCATTCCTTTCCAAAGAAGGTGCGCCCTTCCCTTCCCCTGAGGCCCTTTCTATGGGCTGGAAGGCGAACATAGCAGTGAGCCTTCTTAGCCCAGACAAGCAGGCATGGAGGGGCAGCCAAGCAACCAGGCAGGAAGACGTGGAGCCGCCACATCAACCCATTGCCTCCACCTGGACCTGCACAACAGGGCACTGAACTTCAGTCTCATTTCAGCCACGATTTCTGTAGGATTCTGTGTAACTTAAACATACATACTGGCCAGGCACAGTGGCTCACACCCATAATCCCAGCACTTTGGGAGGCTGAGGCAGGAGGATCCCTTGAGGCCAGAATTTCAAGACCAGCCTGGGCAACACAATGAAACCCTGTCTCTACAAAGAATAAAAATTGAAAAATTAACCAGTCATAGTGATGTGTGCCTGTGGTCCCAGCTACTCAGAAGGCTGAGGCGGCAAGATACCTGGAGTCCAGGAGTCAGAGACTTCAGTGAGCAATGAGCAATGATTGTCCCACTACCCTCCAGCCTGGGTGACAAAGTGGAACCCCCCCCTTCTCTCTATGTGTGTGTGTGTGTATGTGTGTGTGTGTTTGTGTGTACATATATATATATATATATACACACACATATATACATAGAGAGAGAAAGATATATATACATGCTGGGTGCGGTGGCTTATGCCTGTAATCCCAACACTTTGGGAGGCTGAGGAGAGTGGATCATGAGGTCATGAGTTTGAGACCAGCCTGGCCAACATGGTGAAACCCCCTCTCTACTATAAATACAAAAATTAGCTGGGCATGGTGGTGGGCACCTGTAATCCCAGATACTCAGGAAGCAGAGGCAGGAAAATCGCTTTAATCCTAGAGGCAGAGGTTGCAGTGAGCCAAGATTGTGCCATTGCACTCCAACCTGGGCAACAGGGAGAGACTTCATCTCAAAATTAAAAAATAAATAAACAAAGATACACACACATGCACATGCGTGCGCACACATGCACACACACACACACACATTCAATTCTGAAACTTGGAGCCTGAAAGTCATTTCAGGAAGATGGGGCTAAACAGTTACTGGTCACCTTCGTGCCACACAGTCAACAGATACGTCAGTCCTCTAAAGATGCAGCACTGTCACAACAGACAGACTAAACATCCTGTCCTCGTAGAGCGTACATTCATATGATTTCATTTCATCTTGATTACCACTCTGTCAGGGAAATATTCCCTTGCATCTTAGACACCAGGAGATTAAACTGTAGAGATTTCCCATGATGTGTTTGAAGTGAGTTAGTCGGTGAGTCAGACGTCACGATTCAAGCCAGGTCAGCTCATGTCAGAGCTAGAACCTCTCCACGGGTCTGGTGGCCTCCAAAGCACACCCTCTAGCCTGTCAGGGCTGTCACAGATGGGGACTGTAACCACGAGGAATCAAGAGGAAGGATTTTTTTTTTTTTGAGACAGAGTATCCCTCTGTCACCCAGGCTATAGTACAGTGGCGTGATCTCAGCTCACTGGAACCTCTGCCTCTTGGGTTCAAGCAACTCTCCTGTCTCAGCCTCCCAAGCAGCTGGGATTATAGGAGTGCGCCATCATGCCTGGCTAATTTTTTTTTTTTTTTTTGGTATTTTTAGTAGAGAAAGGGTTTCACTGTGTTGATTAAGCTGGTCACAAACTCCTGATCTCAGGTGATCTGCCTGCCTCAGCCTCCCAAGGTACTGGGATTACCAGCATGAGCCACCACTGCCAGCCAAGATTATCTTTTTGAAGAGCCAAAGGAAGACCTTGGACTAGCTAAGAGAAAGGCCCAAGGAGACCCGAAGGCCAGGGAGGAGGGACAAGCAAAATTGTTGGCGTGAACCAGTGGCAGAGGCTCAGCAGCACACATGCCTTGGCTGAGGAGGCCCCCACAGAGAAGCAGAGCCTAGGACAAGGGGTTCCTCACAACACCTGTGCTCCCGAAAGCTCCCTTCCCACCCCCATTCTAGGCACAACTCTGGAATGGGGGCCCTGACACAAACCCCTACTCCCTGGAGTTGGTGAAGAGACACCCAAAATGCAAATGACCTGCAGAAAAATAGAGCCCTGTATTTTTTAAATATATCTAGGATTGTATATGGACATTAACATCACACTGACACACACACAGAGACACCAAAGAAAAGTGCCTTAGAAATAAACCAAAATGCAGCTGGATACTGTGGCTCACACCTGTAACCCCAGCAATTTGGGAAGATGAGACAGGCAGATCATGAGGTCAGGAGTTCGAGACCAGCCTGGCCAACATGGTGAAACCCTTTCTCTACTAAAAATACAAAAATTAGCTGGATGTGGTGGCACTCAACTTAGTCCCAGCTACTCAAGAGGCTGAGGTAGGAGAATTGTTTGAACCAGGAGGCTGAGGTTGCAGTGGACTAAGATTATGCCACCGCACTCCAGTCTGGGCATCAGAGCAAGACTCCATCACAAAATAAAAAGAAATAAAAAAGAAATAAACCAGATGTTAGCTGGGGCCTTCTCCAGGTAGTAAAGTGCTAGAGGATATTTTACAAAGTCCTTCTTTCTATTTTCTGACTTTTTCCAAGTTCTTCAATGAGTATTTAATAAACAGATTTAAAACTAACACAACAAAGGGTTTTTTGTGTCTTTGTTTTATGTTTTAAGGAAGAGATTAGAGCTATCCCTATCACCAGGTTACTTGAGTGGATGTAACAAGTGCATGTTCCTAGAAATGATCATCTGGCCACTTCCACTCTGAGAACAGAACACTTAGTTGTCCTGGCCAGTGTTTCCCAAGCAGGGGGAGGAGTTCTTTCCTAGAATAAATAAGCCTTAGCATTCATGAGAATCAGCTACTCCAGACAGACGGCTTTGGAATCACCAGCGACATCCAGCCCCCTGAGGCAGGTAATCCATGGTGCTTTTCATTCTGGGAGCAGAGGAATCTGTTTTTCTAAGCGTTGTAGGTGGCAGCCTGGAGCCTGTGGAGTGTGTGGTGAGTGGATGCCAGGAGGAGGTGTGCCCAGGGCACTGGGTTGGGGCCAGGGGACTGTTGTGATTCCCTGGGCCTTTTTAAGAGGCATCCTCTCGAGGTCTGAGTTTTCACACCTGCAGAGGGCAGAGGTGTCCTAGGGCCTCTATGGTTATTTCTGCCTTGATACTTACAGATTCTGATTCGAGTCAGCTGTGCATCTTCAGCTGTGCATCTTCAGCTCTGCATCCAACCCTCAGGGAAAGAGGTGCTGTCCCTTTGCCTGGCGCAGGGTGCAGCTCTCAGAACATGTGGCAGATGTGATTGCTGCAGTGGGTTTCTGTGAGCATCAGCTGCAGGCCCCACCGTGATTTGAGGGTCTCCATGGGGCTGCCTCGGGGGCTCCACTTCCCCACGAGGCCCCCTGGCCAAGCCCACAGATGGGCTGTGCCTCTGTCCACACACTGAAGAGACAAACTGCTGGGAAACAGCCAGTCCTCCAACTTGCCCAAGCAGGAACACAAGGCTTTGCCCCCAAAATAATTCTGGAGACAAATATTTTCCAAGAGAAATGGTTGCATCAGCCTGAGAGTAAACAGTTGAAGCAAACAAGCGGTCTCTGTCCCAGGGCTTGACTAAGGCATTTCCACTGGCCTCCCCTCCTTCCTTCCTTCCTTCCCCTCATTCTTCCCCTCTTCCTCTGCTCCTCTCTACCCCTCTCCCCTCCCCTGCTTCCACTCCCCTTTCTTACCCTCTCTTCCCCACGGCAGCCAAGCTGCCCCTTTTCTCTTCTGAATTTTGGGACTGAGTGGGCAGAGGCTGAAGGTAAATAGTCTTGTTTACCGCCGTCACAAGCCTGGAACTCAGCGCTTCCAGGGTCTCTTGAGCAGTTGCTCACGCCTCTTCTCTGGCTCGCAGATTCGGGCAAGGGGTAGTATGGGAGGTGGTAGCCTCAGTAAAGTCTATTTTGAGCAAGGTGACTTCATTCATCATTTATCTCACCTGAGCCACTTAGCAAGTTGAGCAGAGACAGAAACAGGTTCAGAGAGGTTCAGTCACCTGCTTGTCATTACACAGCAATCAAAAGTGGCCAAAACAAAATCCCAGTCTCAGACTGGGAGACCCCAAAGCCCACGCTGCCTTCTCCCCACTAGGAGGCCTTCCAGGCTTACGGTGGAAACAGGGACCACGTGGTGACCTGGCAGGGGTGGAAAAGAACATTCGCCTTTCTTCGGCCTTGATGCCAACCATTATCAGGGCCGTCTAGGATCCAGACACTACCAGGAGCCCTCATTTCCCTGGAGGCCCACGGGAGCCGCACCACGTGTCACCGAGAGGCTGGGAGCATCACTGTGGCCTCTGACTGTGGCCAGGGCTCCTTCATCCCTGTGTTCCTCTTTAGTGGCAGTTGGGGAATAGGGGAAGGGAGCCCCTGCTTTCTAATGCCCTAGGATAGGATCTGCTCACCAAGAGGGAGAAGAGGAGTGGGCATTCTGATTACACTGAACCTCGGACCCCCATCAGCTTCAAGACCCAGGAGCCAGGCAAACCTGGCTGCCCACTGGGCTCCTCCACCTGTTTGCCCTGTGACCTGCGGCAGCCCCTCCACCGCTCTGTGCCCAGGTTTTCCACTGAAAAAAATGGAAACAATTATGGCACTTACCTCAAAGGGTGACAGGAAGCAGAGTGATGTATCGGGGCCCAGGAGAGCACCTACCTGAGGGAGGCTGCAAAGCCAGGAAGAGGCAGCAGAACAGGGACCAGGACACAGGCTGGGGGGTCAGGGGGTGCCCAGGGATGGGGGTGGTCAGGGCTCCATCTGGCCCTCTGAGACCTAAAGGATCTTTGCTTTGCAGAGTTGATAATGGAGAGAATGTTACGTCTCCTGGCTCTGGGGCTCTTGGTGGCTGGATTCTGCCCTGCTGTCCTCTGCCACCCTAAGAGCACACTTGACAAGAAGAATCCGAACCAGGAGGAACAAGACCAGGGGACACATGTGGACTTCAGATTAGCCTCCACCAACATGGACTTCGCCTTCAGCCTGTACAAGCATTTGACCCGGAAGGCCCCTGGTAGGAATGTCATCTTCTCCCCACTGAGCATCTCTACTGCCTTGGCCTTCCTGTCCCTGGGGGCCCGTAATTCCACCCTGACGGAGCTTCTCAAAGGCCTCAAGTTCAACCTCGCAGAGACTTCTGAGACAGAAATTCACCAGAGCTTCCAGCATCTTCTGCTCACCCTTGACCAGTCCAGCAATGAGCTGCACCTCAATATGAGAAATGCCATGTTCGTCAAAGAGCAGCTCAATCTGCTGGACAGGTTCACGGAGGACGCCAGGAGCCTGTATGGCGCTGAGGCCTTCGCCACTGACTTTCAGGACTCAGAGGCAGCTAAGAAGCTCATCAACAACTACGTGGAGAGGGGAACCCGGGGGAAAATCAAGGATCTAATCAAGGAGCTTGACCAGCAGACAATGATGGTCTTGGTGAATTACATCTTCTTTAAAGGTGAGTGCCCAGGTTGGGGTTCAGAAGAGGTGGATGTTTAGTTCTGAGCCTCAGGGCTATTTCTGTCCTGGCTCAGCAATGGTGTTATTAAGGAAACTTAATAACACTGTAGAGGAGAGTGCCCACGGCTTGGGGGCATCGTGGGCACCAAAGCCCTGCCCTGCCCATAGGCATCTCCTTCTCCTATTGGGGTTTACCAAATTACAGTTTGTCCTTCCAACACAGCAGCCTATCAGTCGACCCCATCAGCTTTTGGTCTGACTCAGTGTGGTGCTTTTCACTCTGATTTAAACTTGTCCAGCAAACAGAAGGAAGGAGCTCTCCCTTGAAACCACTCCAGGGCCCGCAGGGAAAACAGCTCCCTTTTTGCAGGGTCACTGCTGGACTGGGCCAGGAAAGCCCTCTGTCTGGATGCACCTGGGGCTTCTGCCCTCCACATGGGCAAGAAACACTGTCCAGCCAGCGGCCTCTGTCTCTGGAGGTGGCCACGTGGGGCTGGGGCCATCCTCACAGGGGAAGCCAACCCCCAAGGAGCCTGGCCCCTCCCAAGCTTCTACCATTCTGCTCTCCCATAATCTTCTGTAATTATATTTTAAAATGTGTCATTGACACATAAATGAGGGCAGAAATGGCATTGTTCCCCTCTGGGAAGAGCCTCAAGGGAGGGCGGTATCCAAGATATGACCCTTGCCAGATTCTAACTGGTCCAGTGCCCAATCCCACTGATAGACACTCAACCAATGCAAACCTCAGCCTGCAACCTCCCAAGGGGCGGTAACCGCAAGCAGGTAGCTTCTGTCTCCTGGAGCCTGCAATCCAGATGGGGAGAAAAAAGCATAGGGACACAAAGAGTGCCCACCTGTCAGACAGCAGAAAGTGCTTAGGAGACATGCACTGCTTGGAGCAGAGTCCTGCTTGCGGGTTGAGTCCTGGGCAAGCCCCTTCCACTCCCAGGCCGGGGTCTTCATCTGTAAAGAAAGGCGTGGATCCGGATCTCCGGCTGGGACTGCTCCAGGCCTGAGCTGCCATTTGTGCTTTGGATTTCCTGTGTTCTCTCCTGCCACGGAGCCCTATGCTAGGACTCTCTGCCCTCCAGGGACGCAGTAGCCAGTCCAGCTTTCCCCTCCCCACCTGCCACTAACAATGGGAAACAGGCAGGCGAGAAACAGGTGGGCAGTGGAGGTGGCCCCAGGTCTCCAGCCTCCCCTGAAGCTCCCACACCTGTCACTGTTCAGTGCTCTGGTCCTCCTGGAGTGGAGACCTGCAGGGCCCCAGCCCTTCCTCTGCTGACTCTACTTACCCTCCAGGTGTCCATTTTGCTCCTTACCTCAGCCTGGTTTACATACAGTGTATGTGCTGGGGCTTGGTCACTACTGGGGCCACCCTGTGAAAGGCGGAGGGGCTGGGCACGCATGAGCTTTAGGCAGAGAGGGTCCCAGCTCAGAACCCTGGAGTGATTGTTCCGTCCCTTTCTGCTCTTCCTGTTCCACTGCACCCACTGGACCCATGAGCAGCAAGGATTGAGTCACCCAATGATGTTAGGACTATGTATTTGACTGAAAGTAAGGGGTTGGGTGGGCATCCAACCAGGGGCAGAAGGTGGGAATTCAAGAAAGGAAGATTTCCCCTATAAAACAGTTTTCTTCTTTTCTCTTAAATCCAGATATAATTGGAAAGGAAGGCCATTACAGCAGAGGGAAGTTGAGTCAAACAGGGATCAGATCCTAAAGACACTAGTCTAGCCAGACATTCAGGCCCCCAGTTGAACAACTGAGGATGTCAGAAGATGGTAAGGAGGCAGAATTAGAAATCTTGATAACTGGCAGAGAGAAATGGGGGAAGATGGGGGCAGACATGAGAACATTTAAAGGTGGTGATTTCATCCCTCAAACCTGTCCCTCTCTTGGTTCTGGCATACAAGACAGCAGTCGGGTTTCCCAGAGGCAGCCGGTCTTCCTAGCAGGAACCCATGCTGGAGACTGCCCAGCTAAAGGCCCCAAAGGAGTCTGGTGCCCTGGGTAATATGGGGAGGCACTCCATGGCACTGCCCTCACGGAGGCCACAGAAGCACCTGAATTGTTGCTGCAGTTGGTGACGGGGACACCTGTTCAACTGAAATAACTCCTACTCTGAGATGAGTTCTTGCTCTGAGGCATCTTTACAATTAGTTTTGTCCTGGGTCATTCCATGTTGGGAGGCTGCAGGGATCAGAGAACGTGAGGTGGTCTGCCAGGAGGAGGAAGGACAGATGGACTATGATTTTGGTCTGAGAAAGTCCAAAGGCAGAGAAGAGTCTAGAAGGAAAATGATGGCACGAGAGAATGTAGGGCCACCCAGAAGCTGGCTCTAGTTGCAATTACCAAAAGAAAAAGCACAATAAAGAAAGAAAGGGAAGAAGCTTCCCTTTACTGAGCACTACTCAAACCACCCACTTACATGCAATACCTCTTTTAATCCTCCCGGCAGCTCTGAAAGGTGATGGTGGGGTTGCCATTAGTCAGTTAGGAGACATGAAGTGCAGAAAACAAATAAGTAAACATTCAACGTTGACCTGGGCCCATCTGAAAATCCCTTTTTCTTCCTCATATTAACCCTTAAAGTTAACCTGTTTATAACTTTATGAGCTTTTACCAAGCATCTCCCAAAACCAGGAATGGGGGCTGAGTCATTTCTCCTCGGGCTACAGCCTCCCACGTGCTGTCATGCCTCTTTCCCTCACTCTCCCTAAACCTTCTCTCTCTCTTGCACTCCTTATTCCCAGCTTCCTATTGATTTCTCGTTTAGCAGAAAGAACCAGGTCTTTCTTTCATGGCCCTTTTCCCAATCTAAGCCTGCTGGGCTCTCCCTCACCCCTAATAACTTTTTTATTTGCCAAGCTATTTCTCTCAACGAAGGCAAGGCTGCTCCTGTGAGGGACTCTCAGTGTCTGTCGGACTGAGCACTTCCACTGCTGGAGAAGCAGAGTCGAGGCAGAATGACCCTTGCACTAACACATTCTTCAAATGCTTGCTCCACCTTCAGCCAAGTGGAAGACTCCCTTTGACATACGTGAGACTTTTATGTCAAAGTTCTACTTTGGCAACCTGATGTGGGTGAAGGTGCCCATGATGAGAATGGATGACATGGCCGCACCTTACTTCTGGGACGAGGAGCTGTTGTGCACCATAGTGGAGCTGCCGTACACAGGCAATGCCAGCGCATTCTTCATCCTCCCTGATCAAAACAAGATGGAGCGAGTGGAAGCCATGCTGCTCCCGGAGACCCTGAAGCGGTGGAGAGACTCAATGAAGATCAGGTGATTCTTCCTGTCCCCCTGAGACTCCACATCTCTCCACCTCAAGGTCTCACCAGTGTCCAGGTACAAGGGCATGGTGATGGGAGAACCCATATAGGAACATGTGGAATTCTCACTTACTTTGCCTTGTGCACCTGCATGGCTTCAGCCCCAATTCTTTTCTTCTTTAAGATGATGACATCAGACAGAACAAGTGGCTGAGGCTTCCTCTGACTCCATCCTGTTCTAAGTCATGAGAAATCTGCACCAAACACTCATGCGTGGTTTCTCCTGGTTTCAGTCTCTGGAAGGGAGAGAGAAACAGATGGAGTTGTGATCAGTTGAGGGCTGCAGTGAGACGGGCTCTGAGAATCAGGTCCATACTGGCGAACCTCTGTGTTTATACATTCGCTCAGCATTGGCTGCATGGTTGAGCACCTACTGCGTGTCGGACTCTAATTTGCACCCTGAGACTAAATCAGCAAACAAAACACAAGATTCCCCGCCCTCCTGGAGCTTACTTTGTAATTGGATAGGGGAGAGGCAATAAATAAATATAACAAATAAGTTATTTGATATTTTAGAAGGCAGAGAATTGAGTAAGGGGACAGAAATTGAGTAGAAGGGGATGAAAGAAGCAGGAAAACTGGACCTTGTGTTCATTTGTGATTTTAAATAAAATGGCCATTAGGTGATGCTTGAGCATCCATATAACAGAGGGGAGGGGTGGAGTCATGTTGGTATGTTAGGGAAAAGCATTCCTGGCAGAGGAAACAGCCAGTGCAAAGCCTCTAAGGTGGAAGTGAGCTTGATATGTTCAAGAAAGAGCGAGGCCAGAGTGGCTGGAGCAGAGGGAGTGACAAGAGAGTTGAGAGAGGTCAGGAGACCCCAAAGGGGTGGAGCAGCTTGTGTAGGAACATGTAGCACCCTGGAAAACCTTGCCCTTCCTCCTCTCTGTGAAGTGCAGAGCCATCAGGAGGGTTAGAGGAGGGGTGTGATCTGAGTGTTGTTTTAAAAGACTAACCGTGGCTGCTGAGAGAATAGACAGTAGAGCAGGTGTGGAGTCGGGGACACTCACAGGAACCAGGCACAGACATGAGGTGGGAGCCCATGGTGGCTGGGACCCAGGAGGGAGCCGTGCGTGTGAGGAGTGGTTGAGTTCTGGATAAATCTGAGGGTGGAGGAACAGGCTGGGAACATGGAATTGAGCTGACTGATTTCATGGGGACACAGTGAGGCAGAGCAGTAGTTCCAGGCCACCCTGTAATAGTTATGTCCACCCTGCAGGGGGCCCAGGGAGCAGGTGTGGGCAGCCGTGTGGGGCGGGCAGGGAGGAGCACCAGCCTTGGATTCAGACCATGGTGGCTGGTGTGACCTGGAGCAGGTCGCTGCTCTTCTCTGGAGCTCAGCTACCTGCTGAATAGAGAGGAGGGTCCTTGCCCGCTGCCCTTGTTCTCATTGGGTGGTTATGAGAGTCCTGTGAGGTGTTGTATGTGGAAGCCATAATAAAGCACCAAGGGCGAGGCAGCTGCTTCAACACTAACCTGAGGCTGCAGCTCCTGCCCCAGCCACTGTCCAGAGGGCTGGACGCCTCTCGGGCCTGCCTGATACTCCACCCCTCCTCACTCTGGATCCCAGGTGATGCCAGGACCTGGGGTCCTACCCCACCCATCCATTCACTCCCAGACTCCTTCCTGCTTTAGCACCAAACAGTCACCAGGGAGCAGGAGCTCAGCAAATAGTTTTGAATGAAAAGATTTCACCAAACACTTTTGATTCACCAAATGCTGAGGAAATGTGTCCACACACTCCTGGCCCACAGAGGATGCTCAATAGGTACTTGTTGAACGAAGGATGAAATGAACAGACAGACACATGAATGAAAGAATAAAAATAGAAATAGAACACCTTCCTCCTCCATGGGACTCAGAGTTTAGTGGAAGAGACAGCCTCCTGTATAACGGTAAGACCAGGCAGACAGGGACAGACATCCTGAGGGGGCTATAAACCAAGGGATGGGGGCTGGCAGGTGGGAGGTGTAACCATGCCCTATGCCAGCCTGTACCTGGCTCAGAGGACAGTGCTCATTGTGGAGGCAAGGTAAAAATCTCCATTTGATTGTTTCAGGATCCCCAAAGCTCTTCCAACACAATCAGACTCCTCAGAGACCCCCAGGCCCTTTCTGACCTGCCTCTGGCTCCTGGCCCACCTCACTCCCACTACCCTCCACCCTGCCACACTGAGGTCACCCTCTGGCCTGTGGAACAACTCCTCCTGCTCCTGCCTTCTTCCAGGTTCTTCCATCTGCCTCCTGCCCACCTCTTCACCTAGCTAGCTCTTTTCCTGCCTTTGGGACTCAGCCTAAACACCACCTCCTACAGGAAGCCCTCCTGGTACCTGTGAAGCAGGCTGCCATGCAGCCAGTGCAGCTGGCCCAGCCCAGGCTCTGGACACACTCAGGGGTCCCTGCTGGTGCAAAGATGCTTTGACTGCATTGCAAGCTGCAGGGAAGGCGTAGGGCCAGGCCCAGGCAGGGCCACAGCTCGAGGCTTGGTGCGCTGCCTGGAGCCTTTCACACTTGCAGATCGGAATGAAAAGCTAATGAATAAAAGGAGTAAAGACAGGGGTTAGGAAATTGAGGAACAGATTATTCATTTCTAATCGGAAGGGGGTAATTGTGGAGGAAACCAGGGAAGACCATGCGGCCAGGTAGGAGGCGGGTGGGCACTGATGCGCAGAGCTTCAGATATTTTTTTTCTTATTTCCTAGATGGGTAGCACTCTTCCTGCCAAAGTTTTCCGTCTCAGGGGACTATAACCTGAAAGACATACTCCCCCAACTGGGCATTGAGGAGGTCTTCACCAGCAAGGCTGACCTGTCAGGGATCACAGGGGCCAGAAACCTGCAGGTCTCCCAGGTGAGTCTTTAGACTTCAATCAGTTCATCTCTGTATCTGAACTTGAATGGTGAAGGCCAGGTGTGCTTTTGGGCACTCTTGAACTTGTGTCAATGCAGGTGCACTTCTCATTATACACTCACCCTGCTTGGGACACCACAAGCCAAGAAGAGCTCGGTTACAGTCCAGCTCCTCCTGCCGTGCTGGAGACTGGTCCTCAGCAACATGATTGTGTGTATTTCTCAGATGGAAAGACATAGTTGTGTAGTTTATTCAGATGGAATAGACATGTTGACAGGCTTGGGATCTGACAGCAGTGGACATCATTCCACACTGCACCATTTACTACCCATGGGGGCAAACAGTAAAAGTCCTCTGTCCCCAGCTTTTTCATCTGTAAACGGTGGTGATAGTCCATGGCTGGTGTGCAGTGCCCGGCTGGGAAAGTCCTCTGTCCCCAGCTTTTTCATCTGTAAACGGTGGTGACAGTCCGTGGCTGGTATGCAGTGCCCGGCTGGGAAAGTCCTCTGTCCCCAGCTTTTTCATCTGTAAACGGTGGTGACAGTCCGTGGCTGGTGTGCAGTGTCCGGCTGGGAAAGTCCTCTGTCCCCAGCTTTTTCACCTGTAAAAGGTGGTGACAGTCTGTGGCTGGTATGCAGCGCCCGGCTGGGAAAGTCCTCTGTCCCCAGCTTTTTCATCTGTGAACGGTGGTGACAGTCCGTGGCTGGTGTGCAGCGCCCGGCTGGGGAGTTATTACCAGTAGGGAATAACAATGACTGTCCGGCAACTGTGATGAAAACATGCTCAGAGCACGAGAGAGGACGATTTGGGACACTCAGCCTGTGTTACTAAAAGCAGAGGTGCCAAGGCAGGGTGACCATGCAGCCCTCTGCTCCTGTCTGGCCTGAGTGCTCACACAGAGCACTGGGTTGAGTCTGCACCTCCACCTTCCAAGGAGCAAAGTGGAGGGGTGTGTGTCCAGGAACAGCCCCGTACGACCCAGGAATGCAAGACCACGAAAAGTGCTTGAAAGCCCCAAGGATGTTTAAGCCGGAGCAGGAGACATGCTGAAAGCCATGCTGGCCTGGCGAGGCGGTTTCTGCAGCAGCTGTTGGTGGTCAAGGGCTGCCGGGACCTTGCTCGGAAGGAACATGCCTCACATTGCTCCTGCTCTTCCTCCCAACAGTAGAGGGTGTTCTGGGGGCAACATAGACTCTCAGACAGAAAGGGATGCATATGAGATGCTCCATTCTTTACCTTGAAGGCTCTGGGCAGATCACACACCGCACCTGCGTCTTCATCTGCACCTCTTGGCATCAGGACTGTGCAAGTCTCGTTGGCAGGGGAGTTGGGAGGGGCACACGTTCCACAGCACAGAGACAGGCCAGTGCTGGGTGCTCAGTGCACTTTAGGCCCCCTAGCGGCACACAGGCAGGTTGCTGACCTCCTGCCCTTCTGTGTCTACCCTGAGTAATGCTTCTGTCCCCACAGGTGGTCCACAAGGCTGTGCTTGATGTGTCTGAGGAGGGCACAGAAGCATCTACCTCCCCAGCGCTCTCACTCTTCCCCCTTCCCCCAAACCTGGGCCCAATGGTCATTGTGCGTTTCAACATGCCCTTCCTGGTGATCGTCGCCCGAACAGACACCCCGAGCATCCTCTTCATGAGCAGAGTCATCTATCCCACAAGAGCCTAGAGCTTGTCACTGAGCAGTGGGGCTCCCATTAAGGAGCCAGGAATGGAAGCTGGATGCTTGAGTCTCTGGGCACAGCCTGGCCCTGTGCATCGAGCGGCCAGGGTATGTCTGGCCCTGTGTGCTTACCCTCAGAAGGTGACAGTGACCGCCTGTGGAGGGCCCTCATGCAGAGGGGGCAACAGACTCTTTGTTCTGGAGGGTCCTGGGCCTCCTGACAACAATAAATAATTTGCTTATGCCTTTCCATGCTGACTGCCTGACTCTGCTCCTGAGGCTACTTGTGTCCCAAAGCCAAACCCTTTGACCTCCCACGCCGGCTCAGTTCCACCCCAGGATCTGGGCTCCTTCTGCCTTCAGCTGCAGCAGCCTGCCCAGGTCCACCTGAGCTTGTGGCCAAGCTCACCTGGACCTCAGGCCCAAGGCTGGGAGGGGACCCTGCTGCTCTAAGGCCAATTCCTGCCTGCTGGGCCTCAGGGTGCCCACTTTTAGTCTCCCTCTTTCCACCCCCCAGAGTCCAGGCTCCACCTGGCTCTTGCCAGAGCCCCTGGCCCTGACCACATCTGGACATCCCCCAGGCCCCTCGCTCCTGCAGCTGGGCAGGGCTTTATCATGGGTTGCCCCCCTTCTGCCCTTTAGCACCCCCAATTTAGGGGGAGTAGCTACTTTCTGGGTTTCCAGACTGAGCCCCCCAACTGCCTCACCAGTTCCTAGCTCTCACTCTGTGAATGACCTCCCTCAACAACCAGAATGCAGGGCTGAGGGCAAACGAGCCATCAGCGCACAACTGCAGTAAGAGCAATCGTGTAGTCAGGCATTTAACTGAGGCCCTCAGGTACCTCACAATCTCTGTTACAAAGGCAATAATGATAACGTTGACAACAACTGAATACCTGAGGATTTTATGCCAGTCAATCTGCTAGGATCTGTCCCTGAAATAACCTATTGAATCCTCCTGCTGACTGGATGAGATAAATCCTGTCAGTAGTCCCATTTTATAGATGAAGAAACTGAGGCCCAGAGAGGCTTAGTAATTTTCCCAAGGCCACATAACTAGTAATCATTGCCAGTAGAACGTTATTCCAACCCTCTTGACACTTTGTGGTTAAGAGGCACACTCTTAATCACTTTAAGCGTGCCTCTTAACCACAAAGTGATTTCCACAGGAATCGCCTTAATGAAATCTAGAAACTTATGGCAAGTAGATGGTGAAACAAGTCTATGGAAGTGGAAGGAGAGCACCGAACTCAGTCTGGGAAGTCAGGGAAAGCTTCTTGGAGGAGGTGGCTTCTGTGCTGAGATCAGAGGAAGAAAAGGTGGTCAAGGGAACAGACAGGACAGTGCTTCAGATGTGAGAAAGAGCAATGGTAGCAGTCAAGAAATCAAAAGAAGTTGGGCGGCTCTGGGGCAGAGAGCAGCGAGGCTGAGGGGCTGCAGAGAGGAAGGGGCCATGACAGCCACTGGACTGCAGAGGGGCGGACCACCGCAAGGATTCCCAAGTGGTTCCTTAGAGCCACAGGGAGCTCTAAGGGAGTTTCAGCACAGGGATGATGGAGGCCACGCTGCCCACTAGGAAAGCACTCTGGCTGCTGAGTAGAAAAGGGATTCATGCCCCAGGACAAGGATGTGGGTTGGGTATCCAGGGGCCTCTGTGGGAACTGGGGCAAAGGTAGGTCAGAGCTGGGGAGGGAGAGCAGGGATGATTCTGTTCGAAGGCTTTGAGGAGAGTGGGTGTGAATTTATGATTGGCGGTGGGGAGGAAGGGAGAATAATCATATTTGGGTTTGAGCACCTGGGTGGTGACTACCAATTCTCTGAAGAGGAAACCCAGCAGGGGCTTGCTGGCAAGGGAAGTCAATACATTCAGATTTGGAACTCTAATGTCTGAGTTTCCTGGGAGAATCCCCAGGGACTTGCTCAGGAAGCAGCTGGACTGAAGTCAGGAGAGAAATCTGGGCTTGAGGGAAGCATTCAGGATTCCTCCCCCGGATGGGCAAGTGAGTATTGAGGTGTCCCTTTAAATGAGTGCCATGGAGTGAAAAGAAAAGGGGAACCTCCCCCATCCCCACTGAAGGACCAGCTAAGAAAGGGCAGCCCACTGAGGAGAGTCACCAGTGTAGGGCGGGAGACAAGAGGACAGGAAGAAAGCTGTTGCCGCAGGACCAAGAAGAGAGACTTATCCAAGGGATAGGGGAGATAACATAGAAACAAAGTGATGAATGAATGGAATGAATGTGTCCGTAGGATTTAGTGATCTAAAGCCACTCGGGGCTCACAAGTGCCACGTTAGCAGAATTAAAGGAGGACTGGAAGGAGCTGGAGAGTGAGCAGGAGAGGAAGACAGGGAAGGCCAGACAGCCTGCAAATGCTTATTTAGAGAGGGAGGGTGTTGGGTAGTGACCCTAAGCTGACGTTCACTGCAGTGCTTGACAGATGTCAGAGCCTTGAGCATGCTTTCATAACCATAGGAAGGATTCAGGAGGCAGGGTGGCAAGATGATCTTTCCATGTGAACTAACTCCTCATCCAGGCTGGCAACGCCTTCAACCCGGAGTTGCAGAGTGAGCAGCCAGCTAGGCAGCATGAAGCATCATGGGAGAGGGCACAGATGGAGGGCAAGGATCAGGGCTCAAGGCTTCCACTGTGAAGGGAACGCAGGGAGGGTGGGCGAGGGGCCAGTGAGGGTGTGTGTTTCTTGGTGGGATCAGGTGGTACCTCCTCTCCTCTGATGACTCTGATGATTCCTAGTGTGGAAGGCAAAGTCACCTGAGTAGTGACATTTGCCAGAGGTTGGGGCAGGAGAAGGCACAAAATGGGATAGGAAGTGGACCAGGGTGTCACGGCAGGTCAGCCAGGCTCAGCGATGAGTGCCTTGGAGGTCCAGCTCCAGAAATTCTTAGTGGTTCCAACCTTTACAGACAGCTGTGGAATGCCCTGTCTTGTGGAATATGTCTCCATTCTTACCACTGCTCTTGTGGGTTTCAAGAAGGCCAACTGCTGATCAGAAGGACAGGAGTCAAGAAGGACAGACCAGAGAAGGGTTGAGACCAGCATGGACTTGAGACCAGCACTGAGGGTTAAAAATGAGAGCAGAGGGAGCTGATCACTGGGGAAGCTTGAGGATGGGGAGATGGGGTCCGCAGGAGGTCTAGGAATGACCTGTTAGAAGTGCCATATGAACTATAAAGGCTACTTTTCCCCCTAAAGAGGGTCTTTTTTCTCATTGACTCTCAGCTTTCTCACCTGTACAGTGGAAACCATGATAGGGTGTGCATGACTATGTCCATCCATGTGTAAGAAGTCACGAAGTCACTGAAATGTTTGCTCCTGAATCTGAACATTCCCTGGACAGCAATTTAAAGACTCCCAAGATGATCTTTCCATGTGAACTAACTCCTCATCCAGGCTGGCATGGCTTCTCGTCCCTCGTCTTGGGCCAGATGGCATTGCACGGGACAAGGCTCTGACCTGCCCAGCTCCTGCCCCCATTCCTTCCTGGCCTCAGTCCAGGTGTCTAAGGAGCCTTACCACAGCCCAGGGCTCATTCTCTCCTGTGACTTTGCTCTGGAAATTGCTGGCTGAAAACTGAGTTTCTCCCTTAAGGGAGCACCTGGGCCCCAGTCCTGTGAGAGTGGGGCTTAGTTTCACTCTTCTCCCTGCCCTGGGGTCTGAGGGTCCATCCACCTGCTGGTCATTAACTATTGCCCTTAAATGGCTTCCTGACACTAGCTGCAGGGACAAGTCAGTCCCTGTCCTGACTTATTACCTTCCTCACTAACCAGAAGTGAAGACCACTTGGAGAGAGGCACTGACACCAATGAAAGACACCGAAGACTCTCTCTTTCAGTCCACGCAAATTTCCAACCCTCCAGTGCAGGCCCTGACCTGGCTCTAGGGATTCCCAAGTAAAGAATGTGGAGCTGGAATTTGCCCTCATAGAATCTTCAATTTGTTGGGCAAGACAGAAAACTGAACATGGATGTGCCAGCAGCCCTGATGTGTGGGGTACAGGATGCCAAGAGAGGGCAGCAATCAACAGCAGATTAGAAGGGTCAAGTTTGGTCAACTAGAGGAGCTGTCCTCAAATGCAAAATCCTGTACAGTGAAGAGGAGACACCAGGGAATTGTGCCAGCAAAAAGTAGAGGAAATGCAATGTGTCCCTGGAGCTAGAAGAAGATCCTATGGTCTGGATAACTGATGTTTGAGGGAACCTTGGTCATCTGCCGAGCTGAAAAGAAAAACATGAACAAGACTATGTCTTGTAAACCATGCTAAGGATCTCAGAGTTTATTCAAAGAGCGGTGAGCCACAGTGAATCTTATACACAGGGAGTGCTTTGATGGATATCATTAGAAAGATCACCCTGGCTGAGCGTGGAGGATGGATGGGGTACAGAGTGTCTGGTGAAATGATGAGAAACAGAATCACCAGGAGTTCCAGCCTTAGCTAGGAGCTGAGAGAGGACACAGAGGAAAGGAGACTGATTGGAGAGATATTTATTAGATAGAATTGATGAGACTTTATGGTTGATTGTGTGAGGGACAGAAAGAAAGCAAAGATGCCACCCAAGTTGCTGTGTTGGGAACTTGGGGAACTGAAATCCACATGCCATTCCATGAGCTCAGGATTATAGAATGAATAACATTTCATGCAGGAAGAAGATAAGTCCTGATGTGGACCTGTGGATTTGGAGATGCCTGCATGTCATGTAAGAAGAGAAGTCCAGTAGAGAATGGGATCTGTGGATCTGAAGTTCAACGGAGAAATTTGAGCAGGAGGGATGGATTTCAGGACTTCTTCTTGCCAAAAAGGTGAGGACACTCCTGCCAAATGACTTCTATTTTCCTGTGACAGAGAAAGAGATGCTCTCTGCTGAGTGCATCATGAGGAAACAGAAAACCCAGAAGTCTGTCTGGAGGAGCAGAGACACGGACTTATCAGGAAACCTTGATGCTCTAGCAGGCACTAATAAGGGACTTCTGGGGGCTGGAGATCACTGTGTCACTAACCTGCTCAGGTGTGTGGTTCCAGATACACTCAGCAGTTCAGACACAGACAAAAAGGGGATAGACTGCAGGTGGCTACTGGAGCTGAAATTTCCCCTGGCTACGGGAAGGAGGGACCATAAGTGGCTGACACAAGGAAAAATGAATGTATCTGAAAATGTTCACCAAAGAATCATTCAAATGATGAGATTTTCGTATTTCAGGCTGGGGACATCAAGGAGCCATAACAGGAGGAGCTGAT